CCCCCCCCCACAGAACAGGCTCCGGGACGCAATCTACCCTTAAATACAAATTTCAATCCATTTGAATAGGCTGAAAGTGCCATTTCTTATTATGGTCCGATCTATGTTGATATGATTTAAAAATAAGCGGATGATTCTTCATAGGCACCTGTATTCAAGAGATCAATAGACTCACGGACTTACGAGCCAAGACCCACAACCATTCAAATCCGGCGCCGGGATTTGCTCCAACGAAATCGGTTTTATGAATCCCGGTCCATAAAGGCCGGCACGTTTTCAGGTTCCATGCATCAGGATCAGATTCTCAAAGTACATAAATGCGGTCTTATCTACCAAAATTATGAATGCAGAAACACACAATTTAACGCCCGTCATTGCTAAATTGACTACTCTTTTACTGCTCTTCACAACATAAACTTGTCTTGTTACATAGACCTCCACAAACGTCCACAATGTCTTTAGGATTCTTCACCATCCTCCGAGCTCAGTATAAAAATCTACCAATCTCCTTAAAGAAGGAAGATTGCGCAGGGAAAACCTATGTTGTCACAGGTTCGAACACAGGCCTGGGCTTCGAATGTGTGAAGCATCTCGCTTCCATGGGCGCCGGGCAGATCATTATGGGAGTGCGCAACACTTCGTCAGGAGAAAAGGCCAAGGCTACTATCGAAAGCCAAACCGGGTGTTCAAAGAGTGTGATTCAGGTTTGGCACATGGACCTCTCCAAGCTCGAAACAGTGAAGTCGTTCGTCGACAAAATCAAAGGATTGGACAGAGTCGACGGCATTGTTGAAAATGCTGCTGTGGCAATGGGCGAATGGGTCGTTCCGAACAAGAAGGATGGTCTGGAGATGAGTGTAGCAGTGAATGTGATCGGAACTATCTACATGGCGGTGTTGTTGATCCCCTTTCTCCGAGAGATGGGGAAGCAGCATGGGGTAGTTGTGCCTATCACCATCATCGGCAGCATCGTGGCGCTTTCTCCAGAAGCGAAATCATGCTATGACAAGCTTGTATCTGGCAACATTTTAGAAGATGTCGCCGATCAGGCAAAGTGGGAGCCATTGTTCCACCATTTGTAAGTATTTTCCGGCTTCTAGTCACCAGCCACCGAGCATTTTTTAACTGACTTGTTTTCTAGCTATCCATTCTCCAAATTTCTCTTGTACATGTTTTTGAGAGAATTGACCAATCGTACTCCCGTCACGGAATCCGGCGTCATCGTCAATTTCGTCAATCCCGGAATTTGTTCCACGGAACTCGACCGCAATGCTCATGGACCCGTTGGTCGACAAGTCAAAATGGCTCGAATGATCATGGGCCGCACCGCCGAGATGGGGAGCCGTACTTTACTTCATGGCCTTGCTGCTGGAAGTGAAAGTCACGGAAAGGTGCTTTCGGAGTGCGAAATTAAGGAGTAAGTATCATTCCTGACCCTAGTGGATCGATTGAGAGAGCTAACATAAGTCCCAGCTACTTTGTACCCGATTGGATGAAGGATGGAAAAGCTCTAGCAATGGGCAATCGGATTTGGGAAGAAGTCTCTGCTAAGCTTGAGCAGTTGGACCCAGGATGCATGGAAGCTGTTGTAAATTTTAAAGGACCCCTGGATGACAATGCAGCAAATCTCACGACTTCAGACGGAGTTTTGATTTAGTTTGTTCCCTTGTAACACTTATAACAGTCACAAAATAATCAAGTCTCAGTTCTATCTTCCTTAAGCTTAAGGCCTCTGGTGGAAAATTTCCGTTAAGGCTGCAAAATTCTTTCCGGTAAAGGGGCGATACCAGATCAGAGAATAGATACAAGAAGCTAAGAGGAAATACCACGAGGTTATGCATGCTAGCTGTCTTACACAGTTGAAGGCAATGCCGACCACCCATCGTAATCATGTACAGCAATGCCTGCAAAGCTGGCTTGTCCTTGGACCGCGGTAGCGATCTCATTCAGGTCGGATTGTAGCTTACTGACGGGCTGCCCATAATACGAAAGGTTGTCCTCTGGCAGCTGAATTGTTTCTACGGCCAGCCAGACAGGCTTACCAACCTCGTTTCCGGCAGCCAGGACAGGAGCAGCAATATCCAGGAGAGCAGGGACCGTGTTGCGGTAGGTCATAAAGGTTGCATAGTCGAGCAAGTTGAGCATCCAGATATCCACGGTCTGGCCTGCAATAGTGCTGTCGAGTGTATTGGCCCAGAATGGGAGATCGGCTGCAACAGTAATGCCTAGTGATGAAGCAAGAGATGCGACCTTTTGGGCAACTCCCTCCCAGCCCTCGATATACTTGGATTTGTTTGCCTCCCAGTCGTCCAGTCCCCAAGGCTGCAGATACATAACATGTCAGTATAGCCTAGACAGGTTGCTGCTCTCTGGATCTTACCTCTACGTCCATGTGAATACCAGCAAAACCGGAGTTCGTTATGGCAGCCGCCTGGTACTGTTTAATCCAATCTAGTTGAGATTGCAGCGATGGCGTACCAGTGCCGACAACCCATTGGGGGTTCCCAATCAATGCCTCAACCTTGATGCCTTTGCTGACGCACTGAGAGATGAAACTCTGCCAGTCGCTGGTCTGAATATCGGCATTGACCTGCGCGAAAACACGTTCAACCCCTCTTGATACCGTGGTATCAAAAAATTGCGCGACCTTTGCTGTGTCGGAGATGATCGTCGACTCCCAGAGCCATGTTCCCAGAGGTGCCTGGGCCTCGTCCCGCATCGCCGGCGTCGGGGTGGAAAGGCAGCTTGCTGCCAAGCTAAGAAGGAGGGAAATTAGCATCAACATTTTCAATCGTGCGCAAGTATGTGATCTGGTGATGACGGACGCAAGCAACGAAGATCGATGCCGAGGGGCCAGTCAGCCGACATATGTACGACACGCGTTCGATGAAACCAACAAATCGATCTGTTGATGATGATGACGGCGGTAATTAATCAGGGGCATCTTGTGGATCTCGGCAAGTAAAAATAAATCATCGCGATCCCTGCCATGGCGATCCCTGCCGCGGCATGGCCCCGTGAGTTGGCTTTTCCAGAGGACGATCAATCATGATCTTCAAGCAGTCATCTCTTTACTTGCGTTGTTTTCTTCCAATAGAGAATATTTCGGTATCAAGAAGCATAAAGGGATTACAAAGACCTCCAATATTCTATGGCCCGAAAGACGTAAGCAACCAAAATATTTATTCATCTGTTTTCAAATCACGGCCAGGAACTTCAAGCTGGTCAATGCAGGGCATGAAACACTTGACACCCTGGGCCCTCGACAACAAACAGTGAGCTTAGCACAAGCTGCAGAAGTCATGGCTTAGAAAAAAACTGGATCACAGGAGGACATGATAAATCCTCGCTCATTGATAATAGCGCACTCGCCACTGCTGGTCACGGCGGGGAAAATATGACCAAACAATATCTCCAGCTTGAAGGTACCGGAACTGATTCGCCGCTTCTTACTAAACCTCCCATTCTTGAAACGCAGTGCCACACTTTTATTTTTAACTGCTTATAAGAAACATACCCTCTGTCAAGCACCCTCAAGCATCCCCCCTTACTAATCGGTAGTCCTTAAGAGTATTGTATCTCAAGAAAAAGATCAGCCAAGTCAATTTCAGATATGGCTCGGGTTAGGCTCACTGATCCAATGAATGTACATGCTGATCTAGAACCACAACTACCTCCTTCGGACAGCTATGACAGTAAACTCGATCATTTCGTGAACCCATTCTGCTCAAATATCTTAGCATCGCTCATGGGTCCTTGTCTTGGTGCAACATTCGCCGAGATAAGGCTCCTAGATTTCTCGCTTCGAGGAGTAATCCTGAAACGGAAATCTGCCGGGTGAGATATAACGCCAGGAAGCACTTTCACCGTGGGGTCGATTTCTTGGCCTTGTTCATCAGTCGCTTTGGCGATGTCGAAGGCAGCCAGAGTCTGAGCGGCTGCTAGGTATACCATTGAATCAGCAAAGTATCTCCCAGGACATATTCTACGTCCGAAACCGAAAACTACCTCCTTCGGATCCGGCTCATTGTAAGGCTCGTCGTATCGTTCTGGGAGGAACTTATCGGGATCATGATAGGTTTCTGGGTCGTGGGCCATCCCATGAACTGATGCCAGCAGAATGGCACCCCTGGGAATCAAGTAGCCATTGTAGATCTGGTCTTCGTCACTCGCATGTGGCACTCCCATCCCAGCAACCGGATGCCACCGAAATGCCTCTTTGACAATTGCCTCAACATATGGCAAGTTTGGTCGGTCCTCAAACTGTGGCAGCCTATCCCGGCCAACGACCCTATCAATCTCCTCCTGCACCTTACGGAGGATATCGGGAAATTTAACCATGGCAAGGAATAGAAAGCTCAGGGTAGAGACAGTAGTGTCTGACCCTCCGCCATACATTGCTCCGGCCGAGAATTTCACTGCTGCCTCGTATGTAGCACTTGGATCTTCACCACACTGCTCGAGCGCCTTGGACACGTAGGAGGGTTGGTGGCTATTGGCCCGCATCTGCATTTTGACTAATTGATATGGCTTCTCTGCCGCTGCCATGACCTCTTCTCTCCATGCACCGGCTATCTTTTTGAATGAAGTGCCAGGGAACCAGTCGGGAAGATAGTGAAGAGCAGGGAACATATCAACAGCCCAGACTCCGGGCTGGGCTGACTCGTTGAAGATTGACACCATGCGCATGACTAGACTCTGGACCGGATCGGGGCGAGAGACGTCAATCGAATATCCATACGTCAACTTAATGATGAAGGAACCGGCAGCTCTATGGATTGTGTTAGTTTGGGGGTTGCCCGGTTAATCGTAGAACCCTAATTGAAGATGCTGATTGAAGGAAGACAAAGCAGGAGGACGTACCTATGTAGATGATCAATGAGACCTTCTGGTTGGTCCATGATATTTTCAAGCATCCAAGAAACTTCATTCTCTTGGTCCTTGCGAAAACTTGCAGCTATTGTTTTGGTCCCCATTTGTTGATGCATAAACTTGCGATGGAGACGGAGGGTCTCATTATAAGGCACCGCCGAAGTAAAATTAACGAAGCCAACACTACCAGAATCATGCAGGGTCAATTTGAGGCTCAAGCGATGTATGAGTGAAAGGTTTTGCAAGTGTGGAAACTCACAGGCCTCCGGCGAATTCCATCCAAGGACGGGATGAGTTGATGAGGGACTTTTTCTCGAGAAGGTCCAGGGCGACTTGCTTGTCGTGGATGACGACAATAGTCTGCCCCATGGCCTTCAGTGAAAATATAGGGCCATATTTCTCTCTATACTGAAGCCAGTGTTCGAAGTCTGGAATGTCGCCTTTGGGCAGGTCAAAAACGCTTCCAAGAAAGGGAATTGCTGGCGGCCCGGGGGGGAGTCTAGGTAATGACAGCTTCCGATACCATTTGTGAATGACCACAGGAAGGAGAAAAGCCCCAATGGCGGCAATATATTGGATGGTATCCATCTACACTGTTGTCAAGGACGATTTGTGTGTTTCACGCCGCGATTCTCAAACAGAAGAAGAAAATCACTGATGTGAGAGGAATGTGAGATTCCATTCCAGTGAGCAACTACTTGTATGCTCATTAGACGTCACTCTCCCCTCAAGTCTGCATGGATTGATAAAAGACCTTTTGTGATTTGCTTCCAAACGACAAGGGTTACACCCTCTCACTCACGTATCGGTAATGCCTCGAAATGGAAACCTCGGAATTAGGCTGAATTTTCTCATCACTATTTCAGCGGGTCAGCTGCCGAGGCAATAGGAGCTTTCACCAGAGATTGGTACATGGCTCTTCACAAGTCAATGGTAATCGAAGCTACTCTCGGTCTTGGTTGGGATGCTGCAAGGGATGCTGCAACCCTCGTCTGCAACCACACCGCAACCAAAGTCCCAACTCAACACCAAGAATCTGGCTCACCACCGGCAGAGCCAATTGCAGCTTAGTGCCCGACCACCATTACGGCAATACAAAAAAGCCACAATTGTCTCTGAGAAGCTTCTTCTTTTACCCTCCAAATTCTGACCGGTGTGGATGGTCCTACCAAGCGGCTGCGTGGCCGAGAAAGTACAGATGTCAAAGCCGATGGAGAATTATTAATCATTTCCCCGGGTCTCTTGTCAGCAGCAGGCAGCATGGCTGCATTTTTATTTTATTTTCTACAGATGGAGTCTGGAAGATGTTGATTAGAAATCAAGATGCTCATCAACTAGGGTCGCACATCAACTATTGAAAAGGATCACGTGCTGCTTATATTGAGGACTCACAAGCGCCACGAAGCACTACGCTTTTTATTTATGTCATTTCCCATGTATCTGTCCTCAAGATATCTAAGTTCCAAAATCTCGTGTATTGCCCATTAATTTCCAATTGGACAAGATACACGCAGCGAGTTTCTACAATGAGTAGCGAAATTCCAAAAGTCATCACGCGGCAGCTGCCCAACGCTGTCGTCTACGACTTGTCGACTCCCGGGTCTGTTCGCATTACTCTCCCACCGACATCCACCTGGTCTAGTGGCCTCCACTGGCATGAGTCTCATACCGAGTTCTTGAAAGTTGTCAAAGGCAGCATCCGGGCTCGAGTAGGCGATACATGGAAGGTTATCACTGCTACCGACGGCGAACAACCGGAGGTTAGAGTCGATCGCTTCGTATGGCACGAGTGGCAACGTACTGGCCCTGAGGGGGAAGTCGTCGTTGTCGAGCGCACAGATCCGGCTGATGAAGAGAAATCTATTTTCTTTTGGAATCTGAACGGAGTTATCCTTAACCCGCCTTCATTACTCAACAAATATGCTTGGGCACCATCATTGGTCCCTCGTTTTGCGCGCGACATCTTTCAGGACTTCTGGATCACTCTCAACTTGTTTGTCATTTTCTATCATCTAGACAACTTTCCGGCGTTCTCGAACGCCAAAAGCCTGGTACCCATCATCGGAAAACAATTAGACCAGGTAGCCTCTCATGTAATACTCTACCTAGCTACGTGGATTGGTTGGCTGCTTGGAGCCCAACCGGTGAGACGGGTCTACACGCCATCCAGGGTCTATGATCGTTGGTGGGATGCAAGGAAAACAAAAAGTGTCAAACGGGAATAATTTATCCACGGTTGCGAGTTCTCAACTACATAACTCGTCCAAGCTGGGCGTGAAAGGGACATGGTGTGCAGCTCATATACGCCGGCATCTGGGAACCTCCATCCTACAACTACCAAAATGCCATATACTACTCCACGTATTTATTGACTAAGATAATAAATCGACAACAATGACAAATGCTTGGATTGCCTACATTAGAAGTCTGCACCTTATTGTTAGAGACCAGAGGCTAATCAAAACTTTAGACATATATCCTACGAATCATAAAAGCTTTCTTTATTCTACCTCAGTCGTTCACTTCTATGATCTAAATAGACCCAGAAAGGAAACGCCGAAATTCAAAATAAAGACACATTTGCACCATCCGGCTGGTTAAAGAAACGTGGCCCTATAGCCTACCAACCTTCCTACTTCATGATATTCGTGAGTAGCATTATAATAGTCTCAAATACTTATTCAATCCAAGTTCTCCAGGCTGGTGCTAAGATGAATTAAATGATGTACTCTTTTCATCCTGTTACGCTCCCCACTCGCCGGTTCCCTATCGAATCCGTCTTTATGGTATGTCGGATCGCGAGAGTGTGAAAGGCTAGGGAGATTGCATGCAACGGCAAAGCCATGGAGCCGAGTGATACATTGAGGTCCACGGTTTGGATCGTCTACTGTCTGCGGTGCGCATCATTCTTTAGCTAGGTGCCTAGACATCCATAATCAACAGGAGGCTCAATAGAAGGTTATGGCGGACAGGGCGAAAACCATCGCAGCCGACATGAGTGTAGAATTGTATCACCATAGGGTAGCGAATTTGCAAGCCACGAACAGGACCGATCACCTGCAATTGTCGCCCACGTGCGGGATAATCTACGAATCTACCATTGCGTCCAGATCCTCCTAGGGTCAGTTGCCAAAAGGAATCATTCCAACTCGTATCTAGGCCTGGACAACGCATCCTGCGTGCATGGGGTGAAGCAAAACAGGCGCCTACCTGAACTAGATACGTGATCCCATTGGCTTTGATTCGCTGATCCCACGACCACATGGCGCGTTCGAAACGACCCTGAAACTGGGTGGGGGGAAATTGCAGGAGCTGGGGCAGCCCCTGGTCGGCGGTTTTGCTACATCTCCGGCCTCTCTCCTGCTGGGATGCCTCTTCTTGATTTTCCCATGTTTCTCCAGGTTTCTTCGTCAACTGCGACAGTTTAATTTCCTTTGCGTGTTTTGAGCGATGCGTTGCAACGGGTTCGGGGTGGTCTCGTGGCTCGCTGCGGTGCAGCTCTGCGCCGCCGCCAGCAGCCCGTGTAAGCAAATTGCCGACGACCAACTCAAGCTGGCCTCGAGTCTCGATCTCTCTTTCCCGAGCGATATTCGGTACCTGGCTGGGTTTGATGCCGAGCTCGCGTTCCAGTGTGTCACGTCGGTGGCTCTTGATGCGCAAGATGCCACCGACATGCTGGCTTACATCAAGAAATACTTTTCCTTCCAGAGCACGCTGGCGTACCTCAAGAACCCTCCGAAATCGTATCAGCAGCTGCCCGTTGACGTCATGGGAAGACTGGACGCAATTGGGAAGAATATCAAGGACGGATCATACAGCAGCCAATACGCGCTTGAGCTTGATATCCAGGCGGTCATCCGAGACGCACACGAGGGTCACCTCAGCTACAATGCAGGTGTAATTGGGCTGTTCACCTGGTTTCTTCCCGACGGGCTGGTCTCCATCTCGTCTGATGGCCAGGAAATCCCCGAGATCTACGCCAACTCAGACATCATCGGCAAAGTCAGCAATGCGTCCCCCATCGTTCAACTGCAAGGCCAGTCGCCGTTCTCATACCTACGATCATATTTGGAGCGCACGACTGCTGCCATGGGCCTGATTGATCCGCATGCCGAATGGAACCAGTTGATGGTGAACTCTGCGAACCAATTCTCCCGAACAGGTACCAGCGGCGACAGCTCGATTGCCTACGACTTCTTCCAGTCCACGACCATCTACAATGGCAAGTCGATACAGGGGAAATTCAAGAATGGGACCAATTTCGAGTGGGCGTACAAGGCCGGAGCATCGATCAATCTCACCGATTACTCGTACACCAGCGCGAAGGGAATCAAGAAGGGCAGGGTCACCAACGAGAAAACCTCCAGTGTCAAGACTCTGTCCGTGAACAACCTCATCCCCGAGTCGATCAAAATCACCGAGGTCGAAGGCGCCCCCGGCAGTCCTCGCTCCAATATTCCATACAGAAGCTACCCAAGGAACCCTGTTGTGGTGCAGTCCAATTTCTCTGTTGGAGGAACCGTCTCTGGGTATGTGCTCGAGGATGAGTCGATCGGTGTGCTGAGCATTCCCAACTTTGCTGCCAACAGTCTCGCAAACGCGGCGACTTTCAGCGAGACTGTCAAGTCGTTTATCAAGCAGGCCAAGAGTGCCAATGCCACCAAGATCGTCATCGACTTGTCTGGCAACGGCGGCGGCACCGTTTTTCTCGCGTTTGACGTGTTCCGCCAGTTCTTCCCTCGGATCCAACCAACTCCATTGTTCCGAGCTCGTGCTATACCCGAGCTGAAGACATATGGAAACCTAATAACTGGCCTCATCGAGAACAAGGATAACGTGTTGGACAGCACCATCGTCCAACCTGTTCGTAATTTCTACAACAATTCAGGGTTTCTCAACAAGGGCTTTACCAGAACAATGGGTGGGACGCAGTGGAAGTCGTATAACGACTTCTTTGGTCCCATCAAAAGCAGTAATACGGAGGATAATTTCACAAATAATGCGCAATACGACTACTCGAGCAAAGCCATCGCGGACGAACTTGGATTCTACATTGCCAACTATGGCGATAATGCCATCAGCTATGAGCATCCCTGGAAAGCTGACGATATCATCTTGCTCACCGACGGGTACTGCGCCAGCACTTGCCACACTTTCGCGGCCATGATGAAGACTGATGCCTCCGTCAAGACGGTCGTCGTCGGCGGGATCCCTCAGAGCGGACCGATGCAAGGCGTGGGCGGCACCAGAGGAAGCAACGACAGGACCTTCTCCTACATCAGCGGCACCACAGACACGATCAACAATATACGCAGCCTCGCCGGCAGCAAGTTCAACACCTTCCTTGGCAAGATCGGTGTTATCGCTGATGATATCACCAACCTTCCTGGGCTGCTCAGCGATGCCCCGTGGTTCGTTGACACGAGGGCCGCCGGCGTCAACATGCTTGATTCGATCCTGCCCAAGAGCCCAGACATGCCTCGCCAGTTCGTCTACGAGGCTGCAAACTGCCGGCTGTTCTGGACGGGGGACATGGTGCGCGACATTTCCGTGCTGTGGAAGACAGCTGCCAAGTTTGCCGGGGGCGACAAGTCCGTCTGCGTGCGGAACTCGACCAATGGCCCTGGCTCGCAGGTCAATGATACGATCATCGAGAACCCGGGATATTCGTACAATAAGACATGGGAGAATGCCAACTCGACGAGCATGTCGACGACCAATTCATCCAATGACGAGAGCAACAACAGCGGTAATGGCGGAGGTGGAGACTCGACTACCAACAAGCCAGGCGGAGAGGGAGATAATAATAATGGCGGTGGCAGTCAAACTAATGTTATTAATGATAATGGCGCTACGGTGAACAGCGTTGGCATGATGGCCTTGGCCTGTGCTTTCTTTACTCTTTTCTTGGATTTATAAATCGCCCTTCAAGGGCGTATCAGAACACGCAGATCAAGATTTCTGCTCACATAGAACTTTCATAGAATGACAATAGAGGACTATCTACCTAATGCCGCTACATTTCCTATTCTTTTGGGAGCATGCACATCGTCGGTACAGTTGATACGGTTACAAGTCACAGCTCGCACGCAAACACCACATTTAGATTCGAATGGCCCCCTCCCATCCTTGGATATGTAACCGAAGGTTGATAAATGGAGCTCATAAATACTGGCATGGAACTCAGAGGTTAGAATCCAATACATGGCATCCGAAGTTTGGATTCAATTCTAATAAGCTTGCCATTTTCCTTTTTTTTCATTTCATTCTTCCCTCGTCTGTTATTTTTCTGGGAATATACTCATAAATGATATTCCTTGCACCATTTTTTGCAATCTAATACTCTCTTAGGCTTTCTTTGAACTCTCTTGTTCAACATGTCGAGGTGCTTCTGCAAACATTAAATCCCGATGCAAGGGAAGAGGTTAGGTTGAGTCTTAGTTATGTTGGAGCTTTCGGCAATTCATAACCCCCTAGAACGATAAAATCTATTTATACAAGTATATCTTCTCAAGTTATGTAAGTATCACTTCTCATGTAGTGCTACTTAACTTCCCAACTATCTATGCGGTGAATCATATCCGTGGATTGAAGCCTCCAGAGTTCAGGGGATACTTGCTGGTCTGGGACCACTATTACTCTCATCCATTGGCAGGTACAGGTAGAAGACGCTGCCCCATGGATTTCCCCATCCTGGGAATTTCAAGAGCAACATAGATTAATTTCACGTCTGTGGGGACTGAGAGGTTGCCAATGGATAGTCGGTAAGCTTATTTGATTTTCTATCAGCCAAGAGACCTGAAGCATACTAAATTCGAGCATACATGGAGATCATTTGCTGATCACTGCTATGTTAAATAAAAAAAGCCCTAGTGTCTAGGGGAGGAGCAGTTCATGCTCACGGTTATGAGCCAAGTTCACCCCTTGGCCCAGGACATGAGCAGATGTGGGCGGAAGGAGTTGTCTCCTTCTAAAAACGTCAAGCTTGTGCGGTGAGTCGTTGTAAGATTAATATTTACACAGCCTCAATCGGATGAGTAAGTTGATTAGGGGTCCGCATCTGGTGAATCCAAGCGCAGGATACGGTTTTGGGCGCACTGGTTGTCGATCGTGAACGATCCCTGGAGACTCGGTCTTTGCAGGTGCAACACCGTCGTTCCAGAGACCCATAATGATACAGCCACAACCCATTATCTAGCCTGTTCTAGGCATTCTCTCGGACAGTCGCTGTGCATTATTTGCAGTTAATCGAGTATTTGGGTTACGGTAAATACAAAATTGAATTTTCAGACTTTCTATTGGCTTGAATGCGGAGGAGAGCAACGGCGGCTCTTTGATCCACCTACCCTAAAGTCTCGGCAATTGAATAGGCGGCACGGGGGCTGACCAGCTTCATCATGCCAGAGCGCTCGATGCATCTCGGAAAATTCTAGAGAATAGAGAATAGAAATACATCATGCAGGGATGTTGTAAGCATACAGGCGCGGACATCAGCGCACCGAGTCAAAGTGTTGTGATCGACAAGAGATGAAACGATAACCGAGCGGCCTCATGGAACAGGATACAGGCCGGTGAAAGTCCCGCGGTTTAGTCAGGGAAAAGCGGCTTTTGGAAATAGATAGATGGGATTTTTTATCGCTAATGGCCTAACAGAAATGGATTTACTGATGTGAGATTCAATTTTAGCGGATATGCATGGTTTAACCTAATCGCCGTCGTGATCTGCTTGAGAAGTTCCCGAGGCCACGGCAGACGGTTCTGTCTGTATATTATGTAATCGGCAATATGAACAGGCTCAGTGCTACTGGTGGAGTAACAATGCAGGCCAAACAATGGCAATGGCATGGCATGAACTGGGGCATCCATTGATGGATAAGACCAAGGTGACAGATGCCGACTCCGGCTTGGCTGACCTTCTGGAGCTTCTGGACTCCTGGAGAGGCCAAGCCGCTAGCAGGGGGCAGGCAGACCTGAGGCCTTGGACTTGGCTCTGCGTACAGAATCTATTGATTTGACGGCATACGCAGTCGATACGCTGGATGGGCCGTTTACGCTGGTGCTGGAGGAGTCGGGTGAAATGGACGGGCTAGATCTGAGGAGACGACTCAGGTCTGGGCTGGTACTTCCGAGACGGCGCCTACGTGTACGCCAACAATAATGCGGTGGCTAAGCAGGGACTGCAGTTCTCAAATACGATGTCGCAGAGAATACGGTGCGATAATCACGGTGGCAGGCGAGTTCACTTGCCTTGGCCAGCGGCTGAACATGAAATGCTGCACCTCTGCACCATTTCATCATGGTGTCTGTAACGTACCTACTGTACCGTACCTGCGGCTAAATGGTGTGTGCGCTACGAGTAAGGTATGGAATGATGGCTGCCCGTGTGGGAGCGTGACTGGAGGAAAGGCCCCGTGTTCCGATCATGCTTGATTTAACCTTGTTGGAGGGCGGGATTTTTTGGCGGGCGGCAGGGCTGGATGGCATGTGGGTGGGCACTGGATGAGCAATCAAATGCCCTCTCTGCTGCACAGCCTCAGACAAGCTGACAGACCTGGCAGCTGGTGTCTGATGAGGAAATTGGAGGACCAGATGGATTTCGAGGACCGACCGGATGATCCCAATCCATTGTTGGCAAAGGACCGCCTCATATTTTCCTTTTTCTTTCCGCCGAACTGTGGCATCATGTGAAACAAACCATGCAGCCGAGAGCCGATGCTGAGAATCGCAGGTCCCTTATCACTGATAACGCCGCCACGGAGGCGATCCCTGTCTGTAGGCGCTGTATCTGCTGTTTCTGCACTGGCGGCGGGCATCCATCGCCAAGCATCAGTGGCATGAAGCTCTAAGCTACCTGCTGTGATGGCGTTATTCCCCTGGACTCGCTGGAATGCTGGCAAGCCGTTGAGCGACAATTCCTCAACCTTCCATCCAAATGTTCCATCCTTCCATCCATCCATCACCTCTCCCCACTGATCGCATGCTCGTTTCCCAGCACCTCCGACGACCCCGATCAGAGCAGGCATGGGCCACTGATCGACGTCGGCGCCATGGCTGGAGGGGCCTGGTGCCAATAATACTCTGCAATGCCCTCGTATTGTGGGTGCGGGTGACATCAAGAAACCGTGTTTGTTTTGATGGGTCACACGTCATACTGTACGCCCGACCCCCGCAGACAATCAGACAGCACAGACGAGACAGGCTCAGGCAAGACAGCAGCCAGCCAGCCATATGGAGACTGGGCCTGTGGCTTGGCGGCGTGGTCAGACATACGCTGACTCTGGTCGAGACTGGGAGAGCGGGAAACCCAAAGCCTGTAGGTAAGTTTGTTCCTCCCTGCCGCTGCTGCACCGTCCCGTCCCTTGGCGAATTCCTCCCTCGTCATGCTCCTAAATAAGACGATCCATCCATCCTCTTGCCGTTCGTACCCACCGGACGTCTCTTCTCCTTCTCCATCCTTCGCTCTCGTTTCTGCTTCTGCGTGCTTGTGTCTCTCGCTCTGTACTTATCCTCTACCACTGGAGGACATCCACCGCTCGCTTCCTCGACGACAGAGAACGGTTAATTCGCAGCGTTTCCTTTGAGGCCGCTGCGGAAACCCCACTGAATTGGACTGTGGTGAATCGAGCCCATCGCCAACCTAAAATCACCCGCGCACAACCCACCAAAAATGAGTCCACCACGATCGCTTGGCGCCCTGCCAAAGGGCCTGCTTGTGCTGTGCATGTCGCTCTTTCTCGATATCCGCGTCGCAGCACAGTATTATAAAATCGGCACAAAAGGTAATACTTTCCGAGGACCCGATCGGCTGCTTTTTTTGCCTTCCAACTCTAACGTGTTGTCTGTCGCAGACGAGATCAAGCAATCCGCACGAACACTCGCTTACGACCTGATGCTTCAATACACCGGTAACCAGACTGGCATGATCCCGGGTATTCTTCCTGGGCCACCGACCGAGCACAAGGGCGACTACTACTGGTGGCAGGGCGGCGCCATGATGGGAACCTACATCGACTATTGGAAGCTGACGGGCGACACCAGCTACAATGCTGTTGTGACCCAGGGCATGCTGCATCAGACTGGCGACAACGGCGACTACATGCCCGAGAACCATACCCTTTCGCTGGGCAACGACGACCAGGGTTTCTGGGGCATGTCTGCCTTGCTGGCCGCCGAAAACAAATTCCCCGATCCGCCCGCAGATCAGTATCAATGGCTCGAGTTGGCCCAGGCTGTATGGAATACTCAGGTTAATCCTAAGCGTCACGACTCCGAGTGTAATGGAGGATTGCGCTGGCAGATTCCTTCGACCAACACTGGCTACAATTACAAGAACAGTGAGTGGAATCCCAGGACTTGGACCTACTTTCCGTTGTCCGCCATTGTCCTGCTAACCCTCCCCTTCCGTAGCCATTTCCAACGGCATCTTCTTCAACATGGGTGCCCGACTGGCTCGATATACCGACAACGCGACATACGCTGAACATGCCGAGAAGACTTGGGATTGGCTGTGGGGCGTAAAGTACATCGATCATGACACATGGAATGTATATGACGGAGGCCATGTTGAACACAACTGTACCGACATTGACAAGCAAACCTTTTCCTACAATGCGGCCGTCCTTTTGCAGGGGTCTGCATTCATGCATGCTTTTGTAAGTTTCGCCTTGATTGACTTGACATTTTCAATGCGCTAATTGCTCGGATGTAGACCAAGGACGAGAAGTGGAAGACGAGGCTGGACAAGCTCCTTGACGCGGTTTTGAAACGATTCTTCCCCGAGAACGTCGCATATGAAGCTAGCTGCGAGCCCGTCAAGGGCACCTGCACCCCTGACATGCTCTCGTTCAAGGGATACCTCCACCGCTGGATGGCCACCGTCGGCCAGGTCGCGCCACACACACACGACACGATCAAGGACGTGCTGCGCAAGTCTACCGAGGCCGCCATCAGCCAGTGCACGGGAGGGGATACGGGCCGCGCGTGCGGGTTCTACTGGTCGGAGCGGAAATTCTACCCGGTATCGACGGATCGCACGACCGGCGCGGGAGAGGCCATGAACGTCCTGGCGGCGGTTTCATCCTTGCTGATTGATGACGCGGAGGAGCCCGTGACGAACACGACGGGCGGCACCTCCAAGGGCAATCCCAATGCTGGTGAGAAGAGTAAGGACCCGAATATGAGAGAGTTCAAGCCCATCACGGCCGGTGATCGGGCTGGTGCTAGTATCCTCACTATTCTGTTAGCACTCGGCAGTGCTGCCTTCTTCTACTGGATCACCGCTACCTGATTGAAGATACTGCTACTTCAGCGGATCAAAGAAAGAAGATCACTCCCTGGGGTGCAGCCAGACACTCACAGAGAACTGTGAATAGAAGAAAGCCGGGTGTCGCTGGATTCTACACAACGAACGGCTTACCGACTGCATTGCGGCCGACGTGGCCAGGCCACGGCCGTACAACACCGACGACAGAGTGCCCGATTCTGATGCCGACCCCGATTCCCACATGAAGGTTCCATTTTATGAGCTAAACCGCGCGGGAATATTCGAGCCCCATGTGCCGAGGAGGCTTCCGTCGTAGCCCCGGCGCACGTCACAACCTGGTCCAGCTCTATTGCAATGCATAGACTTAGAACTTCCTGGACTTCGCCCTCGCAAGGGTGAACTGCAGCATATTCTCACACTGAGACGTACCCATTGCAGGATGCTACTCTTTGATCTTCAAGATTTGTTAGATATTATCTAGTCGCATGACTCATTTGCATTGTCAAATATTCACCTGACTTTAAAGTAAATAAAGCATGGAACTCATAGTGCCGCCTAGTAAAATTCATACTTTTCATGATGTGACTTAACATGTGATGAACCTAGAAGCTATGCGGGGTCCTTCAATCATCATTTGGAGAGCTTCAAACCTTGTCTCGACTTGCCAGTGCATACATACCACACTCTTCATGTGAGGAAAGCTTGCATTGGGAACTAGCCTTTTTAATGTCTCCGTGAAGAACTTCGAGATTGTTCAAGATGATCACATGTTATAGTTTCGATATCTCCGTTCTGGCCAAAACGCAGCAATGATGTTACCAGAGGCGGCAATGGACACTTGGATGGTAAATCAATTAAGCCAGACAACGGAATTATTAGAACCATTGAGAGGGTTGCAGAGAGTATGAACTACATTAGCTGTTGCAGTGGTACAACTACGGCTGAAGATAATCGATCATATTGACATTGGGCCTGTCTGGGGTGTGGGTTTCGTACTACATGTACCCGGCTGGACCAGAAGCCCATTCCCTACAATACTGACTTTATTGTGAGTTAGTTCCGGGTTCCTGCGTTCTTTGATTCATCGTTAACCCACCTAAAGATCCTTATCTTCATTGACAGCTTCAACTGGTGGGGACGACGGTATCACCGGCTTGGCCGCGCCGAAGTGTGGTAGTGTGGTCATTAAACTATTGAGAGGCGGCACCTGTTTCAAACAAGGCTATCCCGGATGTGCGTCCAGAACGTGGCAGACTAGGCAGACTATTGAAGAAACTAGCCGAGCTGATCTCTAGCGTCAACGATCAGGTCCCGATCCGAGATATTGAGAGAACCGAGATTGGAGCCCACCAATGATGAGTTGGCCATCACCGATGCGTCCCAATAGTTGCTCCTGCAGGATGCAGATCATAATTGAAAAAACTGGTCTGGCGGAAATGTAAAAAGCAGACCTCCTTCCTGACTGCCCTCTCTTGCCTGACTCTCTTCATCTCTGTATACACTCGTTTAGTCTGAGAGCACCAACACCAAGATGGCGCTGTACCTTACCCGCTCGCTTCTACTTACCCTTCTCTTCAGCTCAGTAGCCAGTGCAGGTAGACGGAAATGCGTCCGTTCATCCACTCTTTCCACCCTCTCCACACCGTTGGACTCGGCCACCAGCGCCACGCCGACCACTAGCCATATCAGCGTCACTCTTTCGACTCCAACGACTCTCTCTACCGTCATCTCGTCTTCTACCCCCAGCACATCCGAGGCTATTTCGCCAACCACACCGGCAACTCCTTCTGCTACTGAATCGACCACGCCAAGTAGCAGTCAAGAAAGCCTGTCAACGCCCTCAAATCCCAGCTCCGATACCGCGACCCCATCGGGGACATCAACACCAGAGACTGGCATCTCAACCCCAGCAACAAGTTCTGAAGCTGCCACGCCGACATCGCAGACTACAACGCCAAGCACACCGATTGCATCAACAACTCCAGGGACTGAGATTTCAACTCCATCTACATCTGAGACCCCAGCCTCGACCACACAGACACCATCTACATCAGAAATCAGCACTCCTTCAACCACTCCATCGCCTGAATCATCAACTCCCATATCAAGCACGGAGACCCCATCTACCTCAGATGTTAGCTCTGTCGCTTCCACGCCCGGAACCCCAACCCCAATTTCAAGCACTGAAACGCCATCTGCACCAGACTCCAGTGCCATCGCCAGCAGCACTGAAACCACACCATCCGTGACTCCAACCTCAAGCACCGAGATCTCATCCACAACAGCTGCCAGTTCTTCCACAAGCGAGCTCTCCCCCACGTCAACACCAGAGGCCACATCCACGGTACCTGAATCTTCCACCCCTTCATCGACTGTGCCGTCAACAACCACATCCAGCCCACCCCAGCCGACATGTGACACGGCAACGCCCATCAAGAACGGAGACTTCGAGACCGGTTCCTTGACCCCATGGAGGCTCAGCACCAGCAACACCGTCCAGACCACGGTTAGCTCCGGCGGCTACGCCGGGACCAATTTCAAATTCAACACATTCAACTTCGACTACCCCCAGTATCTGGAGATGTACCAGGACGTCCAGACCTGCGGGAACACCCGGTTCTTCTGCACGTACTGGTGGAAGTGGGACAAGTACTACTCCGTCAGAAGGGGGGGCACGAACTACGTTCCCTACGTGCGCATCTGGCAGGGCAACACCGTGATTGGAAACCGCTTTCCGGAGAGTGACGCCGATACGGGGGTGTGGCTCAGAGGCAGCTTCGAGTTCACCACGCCTACGGATGGGACGTCGAGGATCTGGATTACTGCTGAGAGTCCTCAGAACCCTGGCATTAATAGGAGGAATTCGCTCGCGTTGGATGAGATTCAGTGTACTGCTTATAATTAGGCGCATCAAAGGAAGCACATAGACGTTCAAAGGGAATAGATATTTAGAATGATAAGAAGTAATTATGAGGAGATTATGGGTGTATTGCCCAAAGATCTTTTTAGTAATGCTAACCTTAACTTGACTTGAACACATAACTTGGACCTTGACTAGAATATTGGATGACACCACCGAAGGAATCAAGATTAAGAGTAATCCGGGGGCATCGTAGTTTGGCGCCCTAGTAGATTGGGCTGAGCAGTAGAGGCGGGTCGAGGAGTCGATGTGCTTTGGGGTTGCTCTCCGTCGACAAGCGAGTATCTGGGTGGTTGATTGGACGGAAGGTCTTCAATCGTGATAGGGACGTCAGTGGCTCGATCTTCTTTCCGCCGGGCTTTGCGATCGATACAACCCCATATAAGACAGATTCCTCGCCAACATCTATACCGTTATATGGTCAACAAATGGCATGGGGGCTCTGCGGCTGGGAGAGCAAACTAACGCGCCTGCGACCAGTATCCAAATGCACAGCATTCTCTCTTCTTGTAAGCTTGGAGGCTGTCCATATGGACTCAATCCGAATTGGTAACCGATAAGCAACAAGACAGCAATGCCAATTATGCAAATTATGAAGATAATGATGTCCATGCTGAAGGTCAACGGCGCGGAAGGTCTGGCAATTCGTCTCGACCGATCCAAGGTTCCTACTACGTCAGATACATCAAGAATCAAGGCAATGAAGCCCTATAAAGGTCAGCTTGGTTCCTTGTATTGCTCTTACATCGTGCATGAGTGGAGGAGTTGATGAGGGAAAGGGAATCTATGGGAAGGAGGAAATACCCCTATTATTCCTGGCACACTAAAGCCAGCTATCTCCGGCCACCTGACCGAGAGTCTTATACTGACGACGATAATCACGATGTCTAAAAGAGCTCCGAGAGATCGCTTGATGCAGTCAACAAAACCGTAAGCCCGGGGAACACGCGGCCGGCGTCGGTGCCGTTGAGGCTTTGGAACTCGCTGGACTGTCGGATCGTACGGTGGCGGGCGCTCCGTGGCAACTGCATCATCTTCTGCCATCGTTTCTCTGTTGATAGATTTTTTATGTAGAAGCGGACAAGATGGATAAATGGAAAGGCCCCTGAGGTTTGAGTTGTGCCCCTTTGCTTTGTGGAAGGAGGATAACAATTGTGATTTAAGAGTCAGACTATGGTGCAATCCTTCGTCATCAGCTATTATTCGTATCAACCTTGCGAATACAGAAGCACTTTATGCTGGTGAGTGCCTGGCAGGGATATTTGACCAATGGGTGAGGTCTAGAAATACGGTTAGGCACACTCTGGATTTGGTGGTAAGGCACAATTTCGGTGCTTACGCCGCTATTGGGAGTCACATGAGGCTTGATTCCGTGTATCCTTATTCAAAATTTCATGTGTGCGTATTTAGCTGCTCCCTTGTGATGGTGACGAGGTAGGTACATAAATGTTGTACCGCATCTGCTTGGCTGTTCAAGATGGATTTCAAAGTACATTGACCATGCCAAAAAATGAAAGGCTGGTTGATGGAATATGGAATACCTGGCAATAGATGAATGTGCAGTTGTGTAAGCTTTCTAATCATAGGCCAATAAACTAAATTACCATGGACTATGAACACACCAGCTTCACCATTCCCTGATGCTTCCTGAACTTAGATGTCGTATCTATAGTCCTGTGCCTTGTCAGCATCACCGCCCATGTCAACAGGAGCGCGGGCTTCTGGCTTCCCATAACGCCGGTCTCGCTTTTGGTTCTCCCTATAGAGCAAAATGCTCATAGCTATAGCTGAGACGGTGGTCGCGAGGGCAAGTGCACTGGAGACTGCGTTTCCAGTTAAATAGTATGGTGCGTCTTGCTTTGGATGTAGCAACTCCAACCGCATGAGTGACAGCAATTACTATTCCGACACCAACGCCAGCCTTGGTATCACCCGCAAATGTCGATGTGATCCATGTTAGAACGATTGGGAAAGCCATGTAAGTTCCCTATAATATCATCATTAATTTGGAGATTTGTGAAACACGAAGGTTAACCCACAGTAACTGCCAGGAAGCAGCAAGCATAACGTGCGCTTCCTTGCCTTAGAAGTCCCAGCAATAGATACCCTATTCCAGAAATCAAACCACCGAGAGCAATAGGGACACCGCGTATCCGGAATCGGTCGGAAAAGGTGGCAGTAATGAGAAGGCAAGCGTAAGCTGTGCCATAAACAGGGGCGGTCATATGATTGGCCGTAACTGAGTGATAGCCGAGATCCTCCACGATGGTAGGGAGAAAAACAGCGGCAACGGCCAGAGATAGAGAAAGCCCGGAATAAATGAGGCAAAATAGATATAATCGGTAGTCTTTGAATGCACTGTACATTATCTCAGTATGCTTGGCTGTCAACCTGATGAGAACCTTGTCGAGCAACTTACTTCTTCACTTGTTCCATATTGATTCCGGTGTCAGCATTTTTTGTGAACCTATTCAGTCGGCTCAGAATGATGTCGTGTTCTGCTTCAGTGAACAAATAAGACCTCTCAGACTCGGGGCGTCCAGGTAGTATCCAAAGTGTGAGAACTCCAACGACGACTGTGGGTAGCCCTTCCACAATGAACAACGTCTGCCAGGCAGTGAGAGCCATTTTGCCCTGGGCAAGACCAACCCCGTATGCAATCAACCCGGATAAAACACCACTAACGGCGCTCATCCCAGCATAGGCAGCAATACGCAGAGAGAGCTCGGATTTCAGATACCAGAAGCTCAGATACAAGGCGCATCCAGGTGCAAATGACGCTTCGAATGCTCCAAGAAAGAATCGAACGGCGATTAGACCACCTGAGTTGGTGCAAGCGGCTTGCAAGGTGCTGGTTGCGCCCCAGCCAATAGCACAGAGTCCGAGCCAGGTCGATGGCTTGAATACTTTGAGCATGAGACCTCCCACCGTTCCGAAGATAACCGTTCCAATATAGAATGAGGCCGAGGCGACCTGATACATCGTACTGCCGAGGCCAATATCCGTTGCGAGACCGATGTTTTGAGCATTTCCCATGTTGGCTCTAGAATTGAATCATGGAAGTTAGTTGACTGCTCAGAAACGGAATAACGGATACCTGATAATACAACGTGGATGACACTTACCTGTCGAGGTACGATAACAAGTAGAGCAGCATGATCCACGGGAGAATTGTGCGATCTAGCTTGCGTACTAGGCGCCTCTCAGCATCTGGATCTGGCGTCGGGGGTACCAGATCTGCATCCATCTTGGACACTCTGCTGTCCTCTACCTCGAGGATTCCGCACGCACGGTTTAACTCTGTGTCATTATCACCACTCATTGTAGAGATTTTGATATTGTGTCAATATAGGTTTCCTTGGAGTATACTCTTCTGAAGGGAGGAGAGAAGCTGGTGAAGTGTCTAGAAGTAGGGAGGCGACTCCTTGATTTATATGCTTCCTATGTCTATAAGATCCGGGGTAACTTGAAGGGCTCCATCACACACCGCTTCAATGAATGTAGTCCCCACGGGGTAAATTGAGGTTGGTTCCTTTCCTACAGGCAAGCTGAGCGGCAGTGTCCGAACCCCAAGACGGACATTCCCCGTGGGACGAGTGACGGTGGCGGAGGTTCTCCATCACCACCACAACACCTGAGACGTAGCCTCTTTGAGCCGGGGGCTAACGGACTTGGCCCGCGCGAAGTTAACTGGTATTCCTAAGCATCATAATATCAAAAGCGCGGAGAACAAATATGCCCTTGATTAAGTGAGATTCTCTGCTGTTCGGATACGACTAGACACTAATACCAATATCCTGCTTGTCTTCGGTGGCAGTCGTCATAATCATGTCGTTTGGACTCGATGCTTGGTATCAGCCGCCTCCAACAGTCAACGCTCAAGAATTGACGACTCTCCCCACGACATTCCGGCGCTTGGGTCTATCCGAGCATTCTCAAAACCAGAAGAGAGGCCGCCCACTGGACAGCTTCTTGGAAGGACCCTTCGTGAGAGGGAACTCGCTCTATCTAACTGATATACCCTATGGCCGGATTTTCGCAGTCGACCTCCTTACGAAAGAGTGGAGTTTAGTTATCGAGTATGACGGGGAGCCACATGGCCTTGCTTGGCATGAACAACGTCAGCAGATTATTATTGCAGATTTCAAGCAGGGTGTTCTGGCCTTGGATGCCGCCACTAAGAAAATCTCAACAGTCATGAATCGATTCAACGGAGAACGTCTCAAGGGTCCCAATGATTTGGTTATTACCCAGGGCGGTAGTATCATATTTACGGATCAAGGCATGTCTAGTCTACAGGATTCCGCCGGAAGAGTCTATCGCATACAGCCAGATGGTAGAACCGATATTTGCTTCGGAATTGTCCCTCTCCCAACGGCCTTGTCCTTGATGCGACCGAAACTTCACTATTTGTGGCTATGACCAGAGATAACAGCGTATGGCTAGTACCATTATATGACGATGGAAGCGTACAGAGAACTGGACGTTTCTCAATATATGGGGGTGTTGGTGGGCCTGATGGAACGGGTACGGATGAGGAGGGAAATATCTTCGTTGCTCATTCGTCCCTTGGGACTATATATGTCCATGACAGACGCGGATTGCCAAAAGCCCGCATCTCTACACAGAAATATGGTTATGGAAGTACTAATATGACCTGGGGTGGCCCGGATGGGAAGACGCTTTTTATTGTAGAAAGCGAATCTGGGTCAATCTTGACAATACCATGGAGTTGCAAGGGCTTGATATAGATGACAGGCAGAGCACAATTGAAGCAGCACACAACTATTTCCATTTAAAGTTCGTCGAGGATCTATTCATCCGAGTCCACCGCAACAACAAAATATTTCAGACCGAGTTAGATGAGTAGCTTCCACAACAGAAGACCTCAATTCAGCGTACAAGTCTAGCCCACAAGATCAAGAGCTAGCATGAAACGCATCCGCTATCCCATGACTAAAGAAAGATTTGGTATCTCGCACTCTCCATAAGTTTGATGGATAAATCCAATTCAACCCATGGGAATAATAGGGATTGGAAAAGCCAGCGACCTAGGAGATAAGCATATAATCACCGGAACTAGGCAAATGATTTTTTAGATCATGCGGTGGTTACTTCCGTCAGGCTGATGTCGTCCACGCCCACCATACTTCCGTCCTCGTAAGTAGCATCATTACACATGAATTGTATGCTCACTGTGATGTCCCCAGTAGTCGAAGGTGTGTAGAGAAAGGTGATCAAATCGAAGTTATAGGGGTCTCCAAGATCGCTGTTGCCAACAGTCACTCCCCCCTTCTCAACCTCATCAATTGACGCCCACAGGCGGCATGTAGTCGTTGTCTTGGGGAGGAACAAGAGAGTGTAGTAAGCCTCGAAGCGGTACTCGGTTCCGCTTACCAGGCTGACCGTCTGGGACATGGTTTCGGCTATAACGTTTCCCTGCCAGTCTGTGGGGTTTCCCATGATGCTATTTTACAGGCAAGTCAGTTTATTTCTTCTTTGATCAATGGAGGATCGCCTTACAGGAGCCATTTACCGCTGCGGGAATGATATGGGATGTATGGAGTCGCGTATGGCTCATCGTCGTTGTTCGCAGGCCTGGATCCACCAGTACCTTGTTTTGAGATCCACGGAGCAATGCCACCGCCATCAAACCACTCCCACCCGCCATTAATGATGAGATTTGCAGGGCCTGTAGGCGTGGGAGAGGGCTCAGCAGTGACGGTTGGGGAGGGATTTTCCCATTCGTAGCAAGCACAGGCACTGCATGAGTATTTGATACACTCATTGGCTGAGGAGAAAGGAAGGGCTAGGAGTAGCAGGACAGTGCAGTAGACCAACATGGTGCTGGTGGAAGAAGTTATTCAGTAGAGCTATACACTGTCGTTGAAGAGAGCTTGTTGAGTCAAATTACAAGCCATTGCAGAGTGGTGTCTTGCTCTTTTATAATTGAGGGACTCGGTACGTAGGCAGTCAAGGTATAGAATACAACCTTATTTCCAAATCAAGTCAGACAACGACATTATTCGCATAGTTCTAGAACTCCCTTAAATTATTCCATCATCTGCACATTGAAGGGCAGCCGGTTATCCAGGAATCTTGCCCAATGTAGCCTTCAGTGCGAGCTGCACTCCCCACAGTTGACTTGATCCCAGGCAGGATACCCATGATCCTGCAATAGCATTCTAAGCCAATCACAGTTCAGTTTGAGTGGCATCGCTAAGAATGCTCGTGTTCACAGAGCTCGCTAAAACAAAAGCTGATATCGTGGTGCCTGTCAAGGTCGAGTCCCCTGGAAATATTGATTCAGCCTCAACCCCACCAAGCCTGTCTATGAACGTCCGACCCTGGAGGATACACAATATCGATTCAGCCCTGATCCTACTACAACAGTCTGCATAAGGAAGCTCCAATTGTCTCCCCGGCAGATTGTATGGTTATGGAGCACTCATTCTCATGGTCTAAGTCAAAGCGGTGTGTAGTCCGCGAAGAGGCAGATGTGAATTTCTCATGTGCTAAGCGAGTTACAATACATGACGATGAAGTATTGCTTCATGTAACGTTGCTTTCTAAGGTAATTTTCCTGGCTGGAGAGTCTGGACATGTAAATTTTGAGGGCCAGGGTTTAACTCACAGTCTGTCTGCAATGTAGACTGTTGGATAGGCTCGTTGCGAGGATAAATTTGACAGCAAGTTGGCGAATACGCTGAAGTGGATGCTCAAGTGCATTCACCACCGGCTTTGCCCTTATCGACTCATTTCCAGGGATGTACTTCCTGAAATGATAGCCGAACCCGGAGGAGACTATATCGACTTTTAGAAGGGCTGGAAAATAAACACCGTCTTAGGCCGTTCCTGCTGTAAATATCATTTACGCTATATAGTAAATTTGCCCAAAGTAAAACAAAACCGGGTGCTTGAGTCTTTGCTAACTGATAAGACAGATGGCCATCAATTGATTTCTTCCAGGTAAGGGGGGTCTCCTTTAAAAAGAATTTACCATCAGAAATATGAATCTGTTTTGCAGAATGTGAATTACCGGTCCTCAAAATTCATCGGACATCGAGGCGAATGTATGTGTGTTCAACATAATGGGGCCTGATGAAGTATGCCTGTTTCATTAACGTCACATGAGAATATAGAGCGAAGATTCATTGATCTTAATCAGTCTGGCAACCCTTACCCGGCAAAGGGCTCCCACAAGATGGTGACTGCTGTTTGACTAGGTACCTATAAAAAGGCTAAGGCATAAGCATATTGGGGTATGGGATTTACTACTGCATGAAGTTATTCCCAGCATCAATGTCCTAATTCACACGGCATTCGGGTCAGACTGTGTTAGAATATTATATGTTCCATGTTCTTTTTATTTCCACACGTGGTGCTACGTCCATGCCTACATGTACCTTAATGTATGATGTTGGCGGTTCCTTGGTACATGTAATCACGAAGGCGGGGTATGTGGTTTTTGGCATATTGACTCATAAGAGTCATAAGAGTCATCCTCGACTAGGCCTCGTCATCAGCAAACTGCATTCATGGGCCTTACTGGGAAGTACTGGTGCTAACTGACACCAATGACCCTTGTAAGATCGCCGTGTGTGACTCTGTGGGTGGACAGTCAGCACTACACGATTGGGAGCCTTCCAGGCCAGTATAGGAGCTAGCAAGGGGCTGGATTTCTCTTGATAGATGTTCATTGCCCCTCAATCTCCTGCATCTCATTACATCACCTTCCATCATTCTCACTCGTCTATTGCCATAGCTGAGCAATTTCATCGCGAGTTAACGGAGCGTTCGTTTCGATGCTTCCCAAACCAAGCCTAGCCAGCGGCTGCTACATTGTCACTGATAATTTAGCGAAATATCTGCCGCAAGTTGAGGCTAAGATCCACACAACAATCCTGGATTCGATATGCCAGACCAATCTCACACAAAGCTTTGTCAATCCATCGCAGAGCCAGGTGGCCCGGGAAGTCAAGTATATATTCCCCCTTTACGGCGAGGTGTCTGTCGTTGGTTTCACTTGCTGCGTCGGTGATCGCGTGATCAAGGGCGTAGTGAAGGAATCGCGGGAGGCACAGGCAGACTTTGGCAAAGCCAAGGCCCAGGGCAAGACCGCTGCGTTATTTCAACGATCCCGCAGGGCCTCTGATATATTTTCCACGACTATTGGGAACCTCCCTGCCGGCGGGGAAGTGCGCGTGGAGCTGACGTATCTTGAGGAATTGAAACATGATGCTGAGATCAATGGGCTGCGCCTCACGATTCCCACTCGGATTTCTCCCCGGTATGGATCTGCTACTTGGGAAACAAACGCTCCTGGGGTCAAAGAGCGCGGAATATCAATTACAGTCGATGTCGAGATGCCAAGAGGCTCTGTGATCAGATCCATCCAGTCACCATCCCATCCTATGTCTGTCGCCATAGGCACATTGTCTACCGCGCCGCAGTCGGAGCCAGCTCTTAGCAAGGCGTCCGCTAGCTTCTCTCAATCGTCAGTCGGCTTGGATATAGACGTCGTCATTGATGTAGTGGCAACAAACCTCGCCGAGCCTGCTGCATTCCTCGAAACTCATCCAACAATCCCCAATCAAAGAGCCCTCATGATGACCCTGGTCCCAAAATTCGATCTTGCTCCGATAAAGCCGGAGATTGTGTTTCTTTGCGATCGAAGCGGCAGCATGAGGCCCGAAATAAAAAATCTTGTGGCTGCTCTTCATATTTTCCTCAGATCGCTACCCGCTGGAGTTAAGTTCAACATATGCAGCTTCGGTACAAAACATACCTTCATCTGGGAGCGATCAAAAGCTTATGATCAGGAATCCTTTGAGGAAGCAAAGAAGCACATAGAGTCATTTGAAGCCGACTATGGCGGAACGAACATTTTTGATCCTCTTGAGGCTACTTTTGAGCAGCGATATAGCGACATGAATCTCGAGGTGTTTGTTCTTACTGACGGTAGAATCAATGACCAAGATAAACTATTCGACCTCATTCACAAGTGGACAGCCAAATCCAACCAGAATATACGTGCTTTCAGTCTGGGCGTTGGGTTAAACGTGAGCTCTGCTCTAGTTGAGGGAATGGCACGGGCAGGCAACGGCTTCGCGCAGACTGTCCACGTTTCAGAGACGATGGACAAGAAAGTCATCCGGATGCTCAAAGGTGCCCTACTTCCTCATATCAAGGATTACAGCCTTGAGATCAAATATGGCAAAGTTGATGCCCAAAATGACGAAGACTTTGAAATCATCGAAAGTGTTTCAGACTCCCTTTTGGTTCATTACAAGGATGATGAAGAATGGGTCGAGGTAGAGGGCCAGACTGTAAGGGAAACGGATCACCAGATCCCGAAAGGCGATGAGAAGTCCGATTCAGGTCCTGCTACTGGACCGATTCAACCAAAACATACAAGTTTGCCTGTAATACCAGCCCCAGACTATATTCAGGTTCCAAGCCAAATCACCCAGGTCTTTCCTTTCAATCGTACCACAACGTATGTTCTGCTGTCAACTCAAAATCAAGATTTGGAACCAAAGTCGGTCATCTTGAAAGGATCTTGCGATCAAGGGCCTCTAGAGTTAGAGATTCCCATTGACCACCTTTCTGGGAAATCGTCCGTCATCCACCAGATGGCGGCTCGCAAGGAAATTAGGGATCTAGAAGAGAATCGAGGTTGGCTTTCTGTAGCCAGAGATGATGGCGGGAAACTGCTAAGAGAGAAATTCCGTCCCGGCTTTTCCAACATGGCGAAAAGAGAGGCTGTTCGATTGGGAGTGCTATTTCAGGTCGTAGGTAAATGGTGCTCGTTTGTAGCCGTGGAGCCGCCGCAAACTAGAGACCTTGTTGGATTGGAGAAGGAGATTGGTGAAATTGAAATTTCTCAGGCATCGACTGATGAGACACCCGTCACCAGCAGCAGACGTTCGATGCCCCGCGACAGGACGCAGATTTCGGGCAACGGCCAAAGGGGATTTTGCGCACGGATTGGCAAGCGGAGTGCTGTTGGGTTATCCAGCAAGGCGCCCAGTTCCTCTTTCACAACACTCTCATCCCGTTCGAAACCGAAAGCCACGCCATCGAGCTCCGGAAAAGATGGGAACAGCCAGCCGATAGATAATGGTGGTAACAAGGTAGACAGCGCTTATTCCAACCACTCCAAGCTTCAAAGCTTCATTGCTTTACAAGGCTTTGGTGGTTGCTGGGACTGGAGCAAAGAGTTCGAAGAAATCACAAAACTCAAATATGATTCTCTTCTCAAGCCCGATCTCCCGGTCTCCGTTGCTAATCATGCGAATAGTGGCGCCATCCTGGCCACACTTTGCGCGATCGCGTTTCTTAAGAAGCATTTCATCGAGGAGAAAGAAACCTGGGATTTGGTGGCAGAGAAAGGTCAAGATTGGCTCAAGGATCAAATCGGAGGTGAGGTTGAAGGGTTAATGCAGAAGGTCTCCGATATGATTTAGTTCATCGAGCTCTCCGTCCAAGGCTTTCTGGCCCTGAGATTGTATTCTGCATGTAAGCTGGATGGCTAAAGTATAGCGAAGTATGCAATGAGTTAAGCCTTTGCTATTGATGTGATCAGGTCCTTAGGGCCAATTTCTTTGTTTGGAGGATGCCCCTTTCTACCCACTCCTTGGTCTAGCAACCTTCTTAGTGCTAGCTGAGCTCTATTCAACGAAACATGGTGTGGCGTCTATTGTAGCCAAACCGGGATTCTCTGGTCCGAGCGGCTTTTGGTCAATGCCACCATTGCTAAATCGAGGTTTCAATAAGAAAGCCTAAGATTCTTCCAGATCTAGAGCTGTCAATCTGCAGCTGTCACAACAATTTTGACATGAGGTGACTTTGATTGCATTAATAAATGGCGGCATGTTGTCAGAATTTGCTGAAAATATAGGCTAATATATGCTTCACTGGCTCGGTAAGAGCTTGTTCCGTTCATAGTCTACCGCGTTGATGAAGGTATACTAAATTGTGTATTAGCACGGCCACCTCAACCGCCATATCCAAGCGAAAAGAAATCTTACCTCCATAAACCTTGGCCTTCCAAACTGTGCATCTCCGATCCAGTTACCTTCATTATTCACTGGTCGAAGACCCATTTGCTCAAGTGACTCCCACCAATCCACCCAAGATCGAAGGGTTTTGGGAATGCTAAACCCTTGAGGGTCCCTCATGAAATGAATCTCCAGGAGAAGTTGCCCGAATGGCATATTTCCATGACTATCCTCGCTCTGGATAAACTCAATTAGAGATGTTAGCGCGTCAAATTCCGCCCCCTCAATATCCATCTTAATAATGTCGACATAAGAGTGGCCATTCATCCTCATGACGTCTTGAACCGTGTACATTGGCGGGTTAGCGTTCTCATCTGACCTGCCAATACCGGCTTTCATAAAATAAGCTCGATCATACTGATCCTCCCTGATTTCTTCGGACCACGACTCCACGCTGAAGTCATAACCCCAGATCTTGGCATTGGTGCGCTCGAGTAGTGAAGCCTCGAAGGAGGAGTCATCACTGACTCCAAAAGAATATACGATAAGTTCGGGGGCGTGATTACTCGTAGATGAGGGGCCGGGTGATATGTTCTCGTATTGAGACATACCGCAGACGACTTTCCCACCGTCGCCGAGAGTACCTACTCTCTCCAAGTCGTGTGGGCAGAAGAAGCTCGGCCTGGCGAAATCCCAGATATTGTAGGGATAGATGTATCCATCAGGAAATCGTTTGTGCACACCCACCTCTGTCAACATCGTCTGACGGTCTTGTGTCGATTGGTGCCATAACCTCTCGGCATGTGCTAACCTATCGTGCAAGGAGATGTGAACATTTGGACGAGTGATCCGGGAATTGGCTCCGTGATAATGTGGTTGACTCGCTCCGAGAGACCCGAGAGAATTTGTCAAACGGTTTACGGGCAGGAAGAATGAATTGGAGGAGAGCTTAATCAGAAGCAACACCGTAGCAAAAATCGTCGTCAATGCAGCTATCCTGCTTGGTGCAGTCATATACGGCATCTTGAGTAAAGATGAAAGTATACACGAGATGAATATATATATTTAATGCAATCGTACAAAAGAATTTTTCATGAAACAATGGAAAGGATCTCGTATATGCCTACGAGTGTGGTCTCCTTATACAAGTTGGTCTGATACTCAACCTTGGACAAGCCCAAGCAAGGGAGGCTATTGTCCCCGCCGCCACTTCAACCTATAGCTGGCTTCTTTCCAAAGACCCCTCTTCTCTCCCTTTGGTTTTATTGAAGGCAGAGTAGAGATCCAATTGGCACTAGTTTATTTTTACTTTGCCCAGCCTACAGGAGGTGGCGGTGGATCAATAGGAAAAATGCGAGCTTTGGCTATTGATGCCGCCGCAACAAGTAGAAGGACATCTCCCTGATCCCCTTGTATGCTCTCACGAACTGTGTGGAAGGGTATTTGATCTCCTGACTTAACAATAAAGAAACTGCCCATTCCGCCACAGTAATCAACAAGCAGCGTCTTTCTCTTGCCCTCATTATGGATGCTTACACGCCGACCCTGGTGGCTCTTTTAATTATTCTAGCTGTTGTATTTCTTCGCCAGAAAAAACCCAGCAGCCCTCCACTGTTGATTATTACGCAAGTTGAAGGTGAGAAATCGAATACTGTTGGTGATGAACTCGTCACTTTCCGCGCCAGATTTCTACAGATCTACTCTCTCGCCATTGCTGCGGATTGGTTACAGGTATATTATAATACTGTCCTCTAAGTTTAATAGGGTACTTAATCATGTATAGGGATCTTTTACCTACAGCCTTTATAAAAATACCCACCAGGTCACCGAGACGACAATCGCATCGCTTTTCATCACGGGTTTTCTCAGTGCAGGAATTGGGGCATTCTTCGCTGGCACCTTTGCTGACAGGTTCGGTCAAAAACGAGCCTGTTTGTCCTATTGCTTCTTATACGCAGTGTCTTGTCTGCTGATAATGTCTCCAAATCTAAAACCACTCTTCATTGGGAGGGTTTTGAGCGGTCTTGGCACAACCATTCTATTTACGGCCTTTGAGGCTTGGATGATTGCCGAATGCAATAGGCTCGGGTTTGGGGACGATGATGGGATATTGAACTCCATTTTTGGGACCATGTCGGTTCTCAATGGCTTCATTGCCATCACCTGTGGACTGGTTTCTCAGCTTCTCGTGAAACTGACTTCTTCTGAGAAGGCACCCTTTATAGCCAGTATTATCTGCCTTGTGCCAGCTTCATATCTTATCTCAACCTCATGGGTATGCACTCATCCCGTACTGCAATGTTTATCCTTGTGCTAACCACGAAGATTCCAGGTTGAGAATTATGGTACAAAGAATCTTAGTTCACGTGTGCCCTCCGATGGAACATTGTCCCGACTATGTACTTCTCTATCTTACATCTCACCCTGGCGAAAAATAAATGCTAACGCATCATGGAAGGGCCGAGAATCTTTACTGTGACATACGTGACAACTTTTCTCGAAGGGTCAATGTACATCATGGTGTTTTCCTGGGCAGGGATTCTCATCTCGGACGATAAAACCTCGAATAACTCAGTCAGCCTCCCGTTCGGTATCATCTTCGCATCATTTATGTCTTCAATGACCCTTGGCTCGTATATCTTCAAAATCGCGACGAAACACGACAACCATTCACTTCAAGTCTCTTCACATGCAATCCAAATAGCCTTGTCATTCGCTGCATCCGGTCTTCTGCTTGCTGTCATGTTTGAGCGGGCGATTTTCCGATTCTGGGCGCTATGTCTATTTGAGCTTTCGCTTGGAATATACTTCCCAGCAGTTGCGTACGTTAAAGGTATTTTGGTTCCAGAAGAACACCGGGCAAAGATTTACGGGGCCATGAGACTTCCAGTGAATGCCTTCGTCATGTTTGTCCTCTCCAAGGTTGAAGACAGTAAGTACGCAACGATTTGACGTGGCAGACATATTCCTTGGCTAACTCCAACTGAAGCGGACGAAAGCCGCGAAGACCGGCTTGTAGTATGCAGTGGTCTTCTCTTGATTGGCATCGTGCTAACAGCTCGATACATGCATGCTTTAGAGGTACGAGGGCATTGATATCTCGTGAGCTTACGCTTTAAATGGGAGGGATCATGCATTCAAAACATGGACTCGTATTTTTCCGCGGCTGCTACAGGCGTAAAATCCCTCGAGTTATGAGAGCTTCAATCTAAGCTAAGACAAGCAGCCATATTCCCTGACGCGTTCGTTCCAAAGTCGAGCCACGTCCTTCACTCGTTTCTTCTCAGCGATCTCTTGTGGCTCATCCGTGTATTTGAGTCGAACGGAATCAATGTCTTCCTGAGCCAAAAAGACCCTCTTCATCTTGTGCGCGAGCTCCTCATCTCGTAGGACCATTCTTCTAAGCCCAAACTTTTCAATGTCCAAGTACCATCTTCCAAGGCCTCGATTGACCGTCATGTGGTGAATGCTCTCCTGAATCTTCACGGTCGCGTGAGAGGTTAGATCTGCAACTCTGTCAGGAAACGAATCATTCCCCGCGGACATGAAGCTTCGGACGCTCGTCTGCCTCGTCCTGAAAAATGCCTTGATGGACTCAACTACCTGTTGAACAATTTCATGGCGAAGCTCGCGTGAAGCTCGCCCAGCGTCAGTCGGTGTAAGGCGCAATTCTTCCATGTTCCGTGCCAGGATTCGATTGACGTCGTCAAGGCTTGTATAGGAGAAGAGTCTCGCACGATGGCGAAGAAAACAATCCCACGTATAAATACTTTCTCGCCACCCGTATTGGCAGCCGGAAACATCGAGGGCGAATCCGTCGCCGCTTGCGAGCTCAAGATAAAGGATGTCATGAGCGTCGGACATTGGCGATACATGTTTGGAAACCGTGACCATGGCGATGTCCTTTGGCTCCACGCTCGCTACTAGAATTCGAGTACAAAGTGCTGCATGATCGTTAGCTCGGTCAAAAAGTCTAGGGATTGAGGGACAAATGGACATACGTTTGAAGATGGAATCGATGAGAGGGCGGCCAATATCAACGACTTCGGTGCATTTGTTTCTGTGGAGGATGGCTCGCTTGACATCAGTATCAACATTAGCTGGAACCGCAGAACCTAGAAAAGGGCGGAATATGGTCTTCCCAGTCCATCCTCCATAATCAAGAGCGCTGCGAAGGTCCGGGAAGCCTATATGAATGACTCTGCGATCCTCGTCTGAGCGAACGAAGTTGTAGTCTCGGTCGTAGGTGAGTGCCTGGAATTCGTCCCAAATTAAAACGAAAGCTCTAGCGGCGCGTATGAGCCGACGGCGGTCGTGACAAACCTTCTTGTGGTCTTCCCAGTTTTCTTGTTGGCAGCGCTGAGAGCAGTATCTGGTGCAGATGTTGCCGATATCTGTCGCCTTGCAATTCGCGCAGACCATTGAAGCTCCGGGTTCGTGGCAGTTTTCGCATGCTCGCTGGCCATCCACGCAGGAATCAGGCAGTCGTTTATGGCCCGTCGGGCTGGGGTAGTCTTCGTTTTCCATGACTAACGGTTACGCTCTTGGACAAAGTTCGCATGCGCCTTGGCTGGGGCGAACGAAGGGGCAAGTGAGTCGTGAGAGCAAGGTTCGAGGATTTGGAGATATCGTATGGTGATGGGAGAGTTTCTACAAGATTAAGAGGATTAATTTGGAATAGGTGACGGAAGATAACGGCGCAGATGTGGGAAAAGTAACAGAAGTGAGCCGCGGGTGAGGAATGGCTGAGAGCAGTGAAAGAGACACGTTAACGCAAGCAACGCATCAACGCATCAACCCAGCAAGAACTGACTCGATTCCTTCGTAGGTGAAGGCCTACTTCACCACGAGGTCGAGTCAGACATCGATGGCAGCTTCGAGCCTCCATGAACCCTAGGGGCGTATGTTGCTTGCATCGTCGTCAAACCTCCAGCTCATGTCGGTTCACATACTCCGTTGCAACTCCTCTAACCCTTAAAGCTACCTATAATCCTTACAGAGGACCATGAATATGAAAAGTTCCTCTGGAATTGAGAACTATTCTTAGTGCTACTGGTCATTCGTAGCACAATAGGTGTTGAACCTACAAGGGTTGAGATTAACACCCAAGCATCTGCTTGCTTGATAATATTTAACTTGCTTAACAATATTTATGTGCCTAGCAACATCCATTTGCTTGGCAATATTAGGCTTGATCTTGCAGCCACAGGCCCTTGTACAATACGAAGAGGCTTGGATTTTTGATGCGGCCCTTGTTAATCTAATCATCCTCTTCGGACGACCAATATCATTCTTATTACAGATCAGATCGTCACCGGATAACTGCACATTCCCTAACTTCGTGCCCGGTTTAATGGTTTGTTGGCAGGCCTGAAAACGACTTACCTTCCTAAAATGAAGCGTAAGCCAATACGCATAGAGCAAGCGTTCCTACAAGCTACACCGTTTCTTCCATACTCTATCTACACAAAACTAGAGAAAGAATGGCGGAGATTGGATAATGGGGTCAAATTGACAAGGGTAGGCCTTCGTAGCCCATCCAATTAAACCGAGCCGTTTCTACCATGCTGCACAATCCTTCTTTCATTCAAGCTAAGGGATCCTTGACCGGTGCCCCGCTGCTCTTCAGACCTTTCCAGACCTTGACGGGAGGATGCTCATGTATGAAGTGATTTATATGACACTCGATGAGCAATCATGAAATTATCGAAAGTTTTGAAAGAATCTTCTGCATAAACTTTTGTTGTCAAAATAGTTGAGATTGTCGTCTTCAATCAGATCCTGCAGCCTTGTCCGCCACTAATGAAGGGATTTGCGATCCTGGGCCTTGTCAGCTCAGCGGCCTCACAGCTTGTCAGCACAGGCGCGTCATTCAAGATCAAGGACAATTACTACTATGTGTCACCATTCTCTCAAGGGAGGGCTTTTGACGGTTCCCTAAACTCCACATCGCTTCCGCAAGCCTTTGGTTTTGCGCCTGTCACTGTGGTAGCCGACGACATTACACAGTCGGCTCTGGGAGAATTGTTTGGGAATTGGTCGACGAAGGATGATGTTTGGAACTCGGAATTCCTCTCTGCGGTCTTTGTCGCTAACCACCAAGGCAATGGCTCCTCCAAACAAACAGTGTATGCTGGGTTCGAGGACTCGCTAGTCGTCCCTCTCGCTAAAGAGTCAGCTATTCCGTCGGGCCCCTACTTTCTCAATGTTGCATCTGGAGAGCTATACCAAGCTTTCCGCCTCTACCAAGACGTTGTTGGAGCTTTCAGCGCTGGAATTCTTCAAAGTCCGAAAGGCGACTCGTTTCAGCAACTTTCGGCGCAGGTTCCAGCCTCTGACGCCGTCACTATTGGCGTGCCCTCGCGCTTATACTTCACACCTTCTCCAGAAAAGCCGCTTGCTGGCATCCGCCTTGGCGTCAAAGAGCTCTATGATCTTGCTGGTATGCGCAAATCAAACGGAAATCGTGCTTGGTGGCGTTTGTACCCAGCAGCAACCAAAACCGCGCCTTGTATCCAGAGCCTGGTCGATGCGGGTGCTGTCATTGTTGGTTATAACAAGATGTCGCAGTTTGCTAACGGTGAGCAACCGACGGGCGATTGGGTCGACTATCATTCTCCATTCAATCCTCGTGGAGACGGTTATAATGATCCCTACTCCTCATCCTCTGGTGGCGGTGCCTCGATTGGAGCCTATGAGTGGCTTGATATTTCCATTGGTACTGATACAGGTGGCTCCATTCGTGGGCCAGCTGGGGCGCAAGGTGTGTTCGGGAACAGACCCTCCAAGGGACTAGTTACGCTTGACGGCGCAATGCCTCTGAGCACGACCCTTGATACTGCTGGATTCATCGTCCGAGACCCTGCCCTTTGGGATGTTGCCAACAAAGTCCTCTATGGGAAGAACTATACCTCGTATGAATCCTCCTCAGCAATCAAATACCCAAGCAAGGTGTATACCTACGGTTTCGATGGCGCCCATTCCTTGATGACTAAATTCGCCAATGATTTGGCTTCGTTTGTTGGCGCTGATGGCCCATCTACCTTCGATTTGGAGTCTGCATGGACCTCCACAGGCCCTGGAGGCGACCCATTAACGGTCATGCTTCGTAATACCTACGCGGCATTGATAGGTCTTGAGCAGATCAAGTTGGTCCGTGATCCCTTTTACGCCGACTACGCAGCCGCCTATGACGGCCGACGACCTTTCGTCAATCCTGTCCCCCTGATCCGATGGGCATGGGCTGAGGCTCTACCAGAAGGGTCTTACGAAGCTGCCCTGCAAAACAAGACTGCTTTCATGGACTGGTTCAACAAAGAGGTGTTGCCTCACTCAAGTGATGAGGCTCAGTGTTCGGAATCTATTCTCCTCTATCCGGGTATGGATGGCACTCCCACCCCCCGAAATGAGTATTTTGAGGAGCCTGGGCCAGCCACGGGGTTCGGCACGAGCCGAATTAGCGTCTTCAGCGAGGTGCCCGATAACGTGTTTCCTCTCGGCGAGGCGGCCACAAACAGCTCCATCACTGGAAAGGATGAGCTTCTGCCAGTTACAGTGAATGTCCTGGTGGCGAAGGGTTGCGACGGGATCTTGCCTCGGCTGGCCAAGGACTTGGTGGAGAAAGGTATGATGAAAGTCCCACAGGCTGGACGAACCATGGAGGGAGGAGAAATCTTGCTGAGAAGAAGCGAATGGTAAAACACGTAGTTGATAGTATCGTCACAGAATCGCATATCACTCGCATAAGCATTCCTTCCATTCTACTAGCATTTTAAAAATTGACCAAAGGCTCGAAAATATCTCGAATCTATAAGATTTGAACTCTCGTTAGAACCTGTTGTCTGTAGCTGTTATTGGGACTATGCTAAACGACGTCAACTAGCAATAGCCTTCTAACCCTCCTTATTACACGCCCAGGAAAGTATGCGATCAATTGTTCCATGACCGTCACCCTAGTTGGTTTATTCGATATCTATTGGGACTGCGTCTACATCTATGAGGTAGCATTCTGGAGCATTCCAAAAGCTTAACTAAAACTCCAGGGTTCTTTACTTAGATGGGTAGTTCCCAGGACCTCCAGTCTTACCGAGAAGCTACCCTATATCCAATCACCTCTCTCAGGCACAACTACGATAGTGAACAACTATATTTAATAAATAGAAGGCATATCGAAGAACATTCTGTGATTTTTACGCCTGAGTAACATGAACGCCTAGATTATTTGATTTATCAACAGCTTCGGCTCTTAGACGTTCGCTCTGCTTTTATATCTTCGCGAACTTCATTCAAGATGATGAGATTACAGTAAAACATTCCATTTATCAATGTAATGGAAAGTTAAACTCTTCCCTTTTTCATCATAGAAACTCACCCATTGAAAAAAATCAAGTACTTTATATGAGAATATTTTTATTCCAAAGCCTGCCTTTGCGTCTGGCAGATTTTATCTCCTTTTGCTCTTCGACGGTCCCTGACGGAGATTTAGCCGAACTGAACCCGCGCTGACAAATGTCCGAACTCCTGCGCCGGATTTAAGGAACATCCCAAACCCGCAGTCGCCCCTTTGCCTGAGATCCCCAAAGTTGGGCATGATGGTAACCGATCCGGTCTTTCAAAGGCATCGCGCAGTGCTATCTTGTACCAGATGTCGTGGCCGAAAGAAGAAGGTTTGTCTCCCCGCGATCGGGAAACTGCAAACACTAACGGGACATCATAGTGTAATCGCATGTTGCCTTGCAATAATTGCTTCCGACAAGGTGTAGAGTGTAATTACTCTCACCGCAACGAGAGCCACCTCTTTAGACACGAAAAGCGGTTCCATGAATTGCCACCTTTGACAGCCGCGGCTGACAAAGATGATGAGGCCACGAGCCATGGCCCTGTGCAGAAGCATAAAGTGGGTGATCTTGGAAATCTTGTATCCTACCTATGTATTATGATTGTTGGCTTACAACAGTACGATAGGACCTATGGATGTCATGGTCGTCTGACCTCGTAATACATCACGTAGATGTTGAGCTCATAATTCCTTGTCCCGCCAGCAGTGTAAACTATCTGCTAGAATCCTGTATATTTGAACCTAGATACCATCACAATTCAACTGCCGTCTTGAGTTCTATGCTGACATCCATTAGTTCCTATTTTGTTCAGTTTACGGTCTCAATACTGCACAACTCGCCCGCGAGCTATTGATCCCTCATTCCTATATCCTGAACTTCTGCGAAATGACTCTGTGAAGTTTTCTCTCATTTATCTTGGCGCACGCATGTACGCGGCCCAGCTTGGATGCACAAGGGGGAAGCTCCCCTCTGGCTCTTGTCTCCAATTCAAGGTTGCTGCCATAGAAAATATCCGGCAAGCCGTAGAGGGCCGTGCAATTATATCTGAAGCTGATATCCTTGCTGTTCTATTCATGACTATGAGCTACAACAAGGTATTCGCTCCATCCAGCGTATGGACGAGATGAAGGTGACTCGGGGCTAATCCATACGATGTTGCAGCATCTCGACAACCACAGTGAGTGGACCGCTCATATGGACGGTATTAAGAAGATGATTTCTCTTCGCGGAGGTTGTGATAACGGACAACATGGTGAGCTCATTAGGGATCTTTACGCGTGGTGTATGGAATACGGCACGTCATCGTCGCTTTGCGCCAGCTTTGCACAGGATATCTAGGCATCGCCGTATGGGGCATTGTAGAAGAGCATTTTCAGGGAGCAACTATCCACTATCCGCCCTGGGCGACCGAACAGGATTTAGTTTTACGCTATGTATCAAATAAACAGAAAAGAGTGTGATATCATCAGCTTATAAAGCAACGGGACAACTTCCAACCATGCCTCAGCCACTTCATGCAAACTGTCGGGATAGATATTTCAGCGAGGCGGCTGTAAGTGGAGACTGTCGGCGTTTAGTGGGGCGTCTTACCTCGAGATAAGCGGCAGATCATCTTTGAGCTGTGATGAGAGCTGTGAGAATAAATCTATAAAATGGTTGGCTGTACCAGCAATGTTTATTCTAATATCTCATCAAGAAGGATTTCAATACACCAAAATTATTCTTACACCTTATAAGACTTGAAAGAAAAGTACAGCCACTCGCAGTCTTTATACAGCATGTCTACCTCATCCTCTCTTATCCATCTCCCTGGAATCGCTCTGGTAACCGGCGCAAGTAAGACTGCCATAAATCCCGAAGAATGGGAGAAACTTGTACACTAACATACCGAATCCAGGTCAGGGTATCGGGCGTGCCACTGCACTTGGCTTTGCTGCCGCTGGTGTTAGAGGTCTTGTCCTTTCCGCCCGAAACGATACGAAGCTCGAAGAAACCGCTGCCAAGGCGAAGGAGCTCGCGACCAATCCCAGTTTTGAGACTCTTGTTGTCGTCGGTGACATTTCTCAGGAAGATGACATCGTCAATGTGATTAAAAAGGCCGTTGAGAAGTTTGGCAAAATTGACTATGCTGTTAATAACGCTGGGGTACGTCTCGTCCAATACTTCTGTATTCAATGTTGTTTCTTCGTAAACTTTTGGCTCTTCTAATGCCCAAATTATCTCTTTAGTATATTGCACAAAAGTTCATTCCTTTTGCAGCCGTATCGACTGAGGAGTTGGACAAAATGAGCAACACAAATGCACGCGGCAGCTTTCTTTGCACTCGTGAAGAGATCAAGGCCATGCTTAATCAACCCCTCAAAGATGTAAAGGGATTGACAAGCACAACTGCCTCTGCTGAGCGTGGCTGCATTGTCAACGTCTCATCCGCTACTGCGCTTGGTGCCATGCCGATGAGCGGATCTTACATTCCTACCACTTGGAGCCGGCTGGGAATGACCAAATCAGCAGGTATGTCTTGATGCCTTGGTTATTTCAGATAAAAATTTCTCTCTTGACGGTAACAGAGAAGAGATTCTAACTAACTCTCATTTGATAGCTGTCGATCATGGTGCTGAGGGAATTCGTGTCAACTCTCTCCTCGCGGGATATACAGTTTCCGATGGTTTCATGTCTCACCCTGACGCCACGGCGGAATTAGGAGCCTCGCTGACCAACTCCAACCCCATGAAAAGGCTTGCAACCCCAGAGGAAATTGCTGACGCTGTCATCTTCCTCTGCAGCCCTCTCGCTCGTTACATCACTGGCCATGGACTTGTGGTGGATGGAGGACACTCCTCCATGATTTAGGGTCAAGCGTTAGAGGCATCTGCGTGTCACCACATCGTTCTCTAGATAGATTAGGTAGTATGGAAATTTTCAATTTTATGACTGCTCTATTAGATGCAACGTGAATGGTATTTTGCTAATATTTCCGGTAATGAATGTAAAAGAAACCTAGAGCATTGGGGTGCTTTAACTAAATATTGGTGCATATCACTCGGCTGGGTACGTGATCTCCGGGTTCTAATTGGGGTTTGTCTTCGCCTTGTACCTCCAATCCGATGCTCCGCTTCTCGAGTCCTCCAGCATCATTTTCTCTCCTAGTGTCCTCCGCTATGATGCCAGCGTGACCAAGATACCGGTATCTGGTTCCGTAACAACAATGCCGCCATCGGCTGACACCCATGCTTGGTCTGAGCAGCGATTATCCAGCCACTCTTGACGCAGCCCGAGATGCGGTGCTTGGAGTCGTGAGCATATGGCATTGACGCTCTGGCCTCTACGCACACAGCCCGGGCTCATATCGAATGCTCGGTTTTTGGCAGTCTGAGAAACCACCTCGATCTTCACATGAGGTGAGGTTTTGCTGTAGTCAACTCCGTTCAAGTCGATTGTCTCATTGTTGAAGAGTAGGCGGATGCAAGTAAGGCGTTTGAATGAAGTGCCTAACGAGATTACTTGCAATAACTCGTCCACTTGGCCGATTATCTTCTCACCACAAGAAAGAATTTCCAGCCGCTCAAGATTTCCCGGTAGACATTCCACCAATCGCGGCGAACCCTCGGCTTCCAGGGGGACCTCTTCAGCGTTATCTTCGCCGTATGCTGGGTAGGGCTGGCTGTCTAGCATGCCCGTTAGAGGCTGGTATCCGATAGTCAACGTCTTCAATGCACTCAAAGTGCGCAGCTCAAAGCCCATACAGAGCTTATCCTTTTGCGCACCCCACCCTCTCTTATCCCGATCATCATCGAAATTGACATGGAGATGCTCGAGAGTTTTGGCATGTGGCCGTAGGGCAATCATGAGATCAACAGGCATCATCTCATCGAAAACCACGCCGTCCACCTGTCTGATGTATTCAAATGATCGAAGCGACTTGCATATAGCCAGGAATGGAGCGATTGCCGTTGCAGAGGCACGGGATTTGCGAAGGTAAATGTGCTCTATTGAACAGGACCCTGGCGGAACCTCGGCGATGGCTTCTACAACCTTGTTCTCGATGCTGACCATGACACATTCATATGAGCGTAGGCTGGGCAGCCGAAGTATCCATTGGGGCTGAAAGTCCCACTCAACCTGACCGCTTCGTGCCTCGTGATAGATCTCGGTCACGTTAGAAAGCGGGCTGGAAATTCGCTGGGTTTGATGGAGGGTTGATGTCGATGGATATCGCGCTGCTAGCTCGAGGATACGGTGGAAATATGGCCGGTCCGAACTTGCCCCGAAGCAAAAGTCTTTCAGCCCAGTGCAAACTATGACCAACATGGCATATATTGCTTGTGAATGCCCCTTTTCGAGCTCCGCAATCCACTGCGCTTGATCTGCATCGGACCCTTCACCGCCATCAGGATCCAGGCTCATTGTCTTCGTGATCAAGCCCTTGTACACTTTCATCTCGTCAACTGTAGGGCCCGACTTTGCAAGAGGACTTTCGAACTGAGGCCACAGCCACTCGGGAATGATGAGTGTTCTGACATGCTTGGCAAGCTCAGGCTTGACGATGGTGATGTACCGGAGAAACTGCAAGGCCCGTGTTCGATCAAGAAGGGTGCTGTCTGATGATTTGTGCTTCAATCTGAAGACTTGCACAGAGAGTGGGAGGGCGACAGAGTGAAGCTGCTTGCATGTATAGAGAAGGGGGTGAACGGATTGGATGCCACCGTCTGAAATGAGATGAGATAGGATACGGGTCTGCAACTCCGGTGGTAAACTTAACAGGGAGGCGTCCATCTCTGGTAGAGGGCTCCCTATTTCTGCAATTGAATGAGGTGAGGTGGTGCTGTTTGTGATCACCCAACACACATGTGCTTGGAGGAGTAACAAATTCAGAATGAAGACAGCAAAAAAGGGTTCAAGTGGGGTGAGACGGGCGGGGAATAAGTTAGTCCTTACAGTCTGCAGGCAGATACAGCGCACTGTACATTACGCAACTGCTGACGGAGGGATAAGCGAAACCACACCATCCTCTTCGTCTTGGTCACATTTGTGATGTTTGATGCTTCGGTATATGTAAACTCGACATTGCCTATTCGAATCCCCTGTGAACAGAAAAAGAAGAACAAGATCTCGTTTCTCTGAAGGAGAATGAGTCAGCATCTCGAAACATGGTCTCACTGTACTTGGTTCAGCTCATACCCCGCTCCCAGCCCCGGACATGAAGCTCCCCCATGCTCCATAAATGCCGTCTTCTCACCGAAGCGAAAGTAAAATTCATTGACCTTTTTGATCCCTTAGGAGATATTTGATGGATGAGAGAGTTGGAGTAAAAAGTAAAAGAAACGGCAATGAAGATGCCAGACCCGGCATCTTAAAACAATGAACATTATACAGGGACATGTTTTAGTCCACTTGATCCCTTGTTTAATCGAACTGGAAGTTCAGGGTCAGCCGCATGATGACAATCGTCTTTGCCGTGAGAGACTAACTAACGCTGGTCGCCATATGTTTACATACATTTGCGACAACGGGGGGTTTCATTTCTCCTAGCAACGTCCACATTCAACCAATCCAACTGACCTCGAGAGTCCCCGTCGATTGATCGGTGCTGAGTCCGCCATCGCCACCTATCTACACACTCAACTGTGGCGAATTCTGGTGGACTTTCCCCATTGACTAAGCAGTTTGGGGAGATTCGTCTACAAGTGATCAGCCAGTATTTCGTTTTCCCTATTCCTGAAGCTGGTAGATGCCGATCACATGTGACTTTTATAACCAATTGTTCACCCACGAGGAGCCCCGCCAAGCTTGGGCAGAGCGGTAGAGGCATAGAAGAGAGCTACATGGTACAACTAGGGGCGAGATCTCCTTGCCTGATGAGCGCTGAACTTCGCCCGGCGTTTCAGATTAGTATCTGTGGGATCGATTCATTGTCTGGCAGAGTGTACTTTGGCCCAAGCAAAACATTTTTGTCTCATTACTCAATCTCTAAATCCTAGCCTTCGAGGTCCCCTTCGTCAGGAGACATGTTCGCTTTATGAATGAAGATTTCCGCCTTCATTTCATTATTACTTTAACAAAAAAAAAACGTTTAATAGCTTATATAACAAAATATTCTGGTTTATATAATGGGTCTAATCTATTAGGATGAATTGCATGATCGTGTTATACTCAGATTTCTACACGCAATATCGACGTTGGATTCATTGAAAGAAAAATACAGAAAGGTCCCTCACCCCAGGAGGAGGAATCGAGAAAGTCCTTCGACAGCGTAAAGTAACATCGAATGTGACACGTGACCTCGCGCGGGACGTGGCCTTTTTCATGATTTCCACGCCTAGGCCAACGCAGATGATGCATGATGGCTTGCACCTATTCAACAAGTGGCAATGGATTGGTCATTATCTTACCTTAGGACTGGGTTTGGCTCCCGATTTAAAAAGAAGCGCCGGCAAGAGGAGCAAGGGGCAATAGACCGACAAGTCCCGCCCAAGGTTTCGCCCGGCCTGAACAAAAGGTGCGTCTGCTAGTGGGACAAATCTAAAAGCTCGTTTTTTGTTGAATCCAGATGTTCATGAGAAAATTCTCCGGGAAGCATTTGGTGATCAGACAGTCCACTTGGATCTTGCTTTCCGCCATCCTTTCAATGTGCTCACCAATAACAAAAGGGACCTGACAACTAAACAGCAACGATATCGTCATCATATGCACGCAAATATTTCTATCAATCTGGAAGGTCCCGGATACATATTATTAGATGTCCTTGATAGACGTGGGCCTCAAAGATGGAGGTGGTATAGTTGCGTCTGCCATAGACACCACCCTGATCATCAACTCTCCCACGGGGGGAGGGAAGCGCCCTTGCTCCAACAATGAGAGAGCCCCAGCTAGACAAATGTCTTGAAGCCACAGGCTTTTGCGTCGAATATCCAGGGAAATGGCCAGAAAAATGTTTCATCGGCGTCATTGGCTGGCTGTTGACTTGCCGACAAGCGTAAGCTCCCGCTTTCTCATCTCAACTGTCAAACCTACGAGACTGAAACCGTTGATTGCAGATACTGGGAAGGTATGCACGCCTTGTGTCGCACCAACACAATCCACATGGCATCTTCAATTTTAATCTAAGACGTCCACAACTTCCTAACATTGAATGTTCTTTCCATGATGACATCGCTTGAGCTCGTTTGGAGCCTAGAAGTCCTTAGAGTTGAGAAAGCGTTTCTAAGACCTGCTGCCACCTTTCACTGTGTTTTTTTCAAAAGCTTAGAAGCATTTCTATTAATGCTATCTCCTCTAAAAGAGATGGCTTTAATAGTCATTCGACGAGCCGCTGTCCTGACGGCAAGTGTGTCATCCGTACGAAGGTTCATAGAATTTTCCTGCCGTATGACTACATCTTGGGCGGACTAGGAAAGGCTATATTTTCAAGCTTTTGTATTCATTGTGTTGAGTTGTCGGACCCTGGCAGCTTCATTGCTGTTAAACTCTATTCTCTTTCTCTTCCGTAAGACCTGCTGCCACCGTGCCTAGCGATGACTCCAGCATAGAGTACCCATCGGTAACACTCCCTGCTCTACAACACCTTCGAATTGCATTCAAACCGGTCATTCGGTCGGAGAACGCATTTGCCATCCAGTTGGGGCATAACTATAATGCCCAGCAGAGACAAAAGGAAAGCGAAACGATCCATGAATATTTTCTTCCGAAACTGGATCGCTTGTTAGCCCGAATCGCCCCGCCGACTACGGAAAGCATCATCTCCTGGTCAAATTGGGGCCTCTACAGTTTATTTGACCTTGAGCTGTTTGAGGTCCAGGAAACAGACAAGACCCGAATGCATCAGCCAGATATTGGAGCAATGGCTTGTTGGAGGGAGTTACCCTCCACGTAATCAAATTCTACTCCGGGAACTGTAGACCATGAGCGGGTAGTAAGAAACGGCTACTGGCTGCACATTGCGGAGCCCGACTTGGAGCATCCTCGTAAGTTGCTGTTAACGTCGCAGGACAACAACGATCCAATACGATATGCTGACCTGATAGTTGATGGATATGATCGGAAGAGGCACGAACTGTATGGTTTGGGATCTACAAAACGTAAGTTTCCCATCCTTGTACCAACGAAAAGATATCATCGCTGATGCAATGTGATGGGCTAGTCCGTCTCAACTCTCGGTCAAATGGCCAGGTTACAGACCCGGACCGCGATTAATATGAAGAAAGGGAACGCAGAAACAGTAACCCGAACCTAACACCCCGAGATAAAATAGCTGGAAATAAGAAGCCTCAGCTCGCGGTTGCTCGGATCTATGGTTCTCCAGGCGGTAGGTCTATTAAGATGTAGGGTTGGGTGGTTTTCCGATTAATTGAAGAAACTGCGTGCCACTCAAAGGAAAGAACCGTATCTTAGATGTGTTAAAATCTCGCCAAGGTGTATATATATTTCTCTTTTTCTATGGCATTGATTTAATGACCTTGGATCACCATACGCTAAGCTTCCTGCTCTGTATCATCAGGCTACGTGAGTCATATTTGGAAGCAGTTCTTAGTCGAGACTCATGTGGCATTCTCTCAGCCACCTGAGAAGACCTTTATTTTGACGTATTCTGATTTTTCAGCTCGTTGCTATTCTCTGCTCTTTCTAGGTATCTTGGTTTTATATTTTCTTTATCTTCCTATGTAGCCCAGAGAAGACGGAAGTAAAAATGATACAGAGAACCAAAGTACCGTAATGAACGACTGCGCCACTGCTAGGCGTTCATCGAATCATAAAAACGCAACGTCTCCTTCATTCTCTTCGCCTCCACTTTGTCTTCAACCAACCCATCATGTTGTTTCTACGAATCTTGACGGCTCTCTCCGCCACGCTTGTCGTCGCTATTTTCCCTATCTTAAATGAGCAAGTGTATTTGGATAAGGCTGGCATAACCAGCAGCACCGTGATCGGAGACAGAGTTTCTCGGCTTCATAATGTCACGTTTGGCCCAGTACCAAAGGCTGAGCAGATCTACGTCACCGATGGTTTCGACATTGCTCCATTTCCCGCCACTACGTATGATCAACTGCCCTAAATTCTGGAAGTTTGGGCCGCCCCCGCTAATCCTTCCGCAGAAATCAGCGTCTTTTCTTCCTTTTGTTCGGGCGCCTCCCATCATCCAAAACTAAGCACATAAAGGATCTCGAGGCTGCGCTGACTAAAGCAACCTTGAACATAACTATGAACCGCCTTGATCCGGATGGCAAGCCCGATGAACCGAGTTCTAATGTCATCCCGCTCAGAGCGTTTCGCGGCAGTATGGGCACTGGCCAATTGTCTATACGGCACACGAATGGCACATACGTAGACTATCTTCCTGGGCCTGGGGAGAGCGAAATATTGGCTGAGTTCATCATCGTTGGGATGTTTGTGGGGACGGGGCTACATACGTTTGACCTTGTCGCTCGACTGGGAGATGAGAACAATACATGCCTATTTGCCTTCTCGCACACCCAATGGTTAGAAAATGATTTTGATTAGCCAAATATCTGGATTTCTACATTCATAGCATGATTAACAAGTCCGTGTCTGTTGACCTAAGTATTGCTCGGCCCATCGATAGCTCAGATATATCTAGTAGGATAGTTTCAAAGTTGTGTTAGCAACGGGCATTGTGAATAGAGAGGGGAATATGGCGAGTAGTCTTTCAGATTACGCTATCATATACCCCATGGCGGGCGAATGGCTTTATAAAAAGACTCGAAGAAAGTTCCCGGGCGGAGTTCCAAGTTGGAATATGATCTGTAGAGATGAGGGTTTGGGGTACCATTAGCTAGATATACCAATGCGGAACCGCGAGCTGCTTCACCATGGAGGCGAGCTATACAGGCAGTGTTCAGAAGAAGCTTCCAGAAAGTGGAGCTTTCTTCCATAGCCGTAGCTATAGCAGGTCGCTTCCCTGCTTGATGGGACTTTCTGTTCTCTCTCTTCTTCTGTGAGGCGGCAGGTGTATCTTTCTCGCTATCGTCAAGAACATGTAACCACAGAAGTTAACCATAGGTACATAAATCGCTATTCGTGGGTCTTGCGGTGCCTTGAAAGCGACAGATATATTGAGGATTTGCTGTCCGAGAGACTGAGGTAGGCTACTAGTCAGCCCAGACGGACTGCACCGTAGCAAATTGCTTACAAACCTCGGTCCAGGTGTTCTCAACGATACTTTCCAATTATTTGATAAAATTACCTTCAACTCGGAGCACCATTATTGCGAAAAGATGATTCTTAAGTTATTTTTCAATAATGTATATGAACAATACATGTGGTACTCTGACAGGAAGACAGAACCATGGTAATGCATGGGACATGGAAGATTGGTGGTGTTGCCCCTTCAAACGGCCGTTCATCATACATATTCAGGTATCTAGATTCACGACAGTGTAGGAGTGCTAATCGCAATAACCTGAATTATCTCAAACACCGTCCTTCAAGGATGGCTATATTAAGTTTGGCAAATTGTTATCCAACCTGTATCTAAAACACTGTCTTCTGCAAGAATCATGAAAATGACTCAATCTCTCTACAACCCTAACGAGTAATGTGACCGTTAGCACATATCGGATGGTCGTATCTCATCGCACCGCCAAGGCACGAAAAGACGCCACAATAGAAATCACAGCATCACCACTGTACCCAAACTAAAGAATGACTCGCCGTGCATGCCTTACAAAGATGAGACCCGAAAGTGCTAAGCGTACTTCAGCCAACATTAAAGTCATAAACTAGCCAATGGCTTGCTGACCAACGAGAGCCACGGCCGAGGCCCACGCGCTATTTACGAGGATAAGTTCGAAATACACAGTGCAAACAATATATGGTACTTTATTAAATCTAAGAGCATTCTTAATGGCATCGCTTTTGTTCTAAAGTTTACATTAAATGGTTTTGTACATCACAAGAAGCGAGACCGGTTATTACGCCAATGCTGGGGCTGCATGCGGCAGCCACTCCTTTTATTCCGAAGGTATCCATGCATCGTAGCGGGCGGCAGGGTCTAATAGTTCTCTCAGGCGCATCGTCCTAGCCCAAGCGACCCCTGGCAACAGCGAGGAATCGGCGGACCATTTGGCTGTGGGTACAGCTAAAGCATCAGTAATTCACCATTGACTGGGCAAATCCATCTCGGGGGCTTCCATGTGGGAGGAAATCACACGCAAGGTAGCCTTCTGGGTTCGATAATTCAGGTCTTTTCTAGCAGGCTAGTATATGCCCGTCTCTCGATAGTAAAGGGTCATCCATGTTGTCTTCGGAGAGCCTTGCAATAAAGAGGGAGAATTCAGCAAGCGAAGTGAAAGGACATCAGCAATCTCCTCTGCCCGGCAGCAGACTGTCAAGCCAACTAAAAAGGCCATAGCTGAAACCCTCCGAGTTGCCACACGCACAAAGACATCGTGCTAGCTGAAACTTGATCCAAAGTACCTCATTCGCCAGCTTCCGCTAAGCCGGCTCTTTTTGAACCTTGCTAGCGTAAAACTAGTTGGAGACTTCTTGGCAGTAATAAGCAACAGGGAATCGCGGCTAGCAAATACCAAAATACAGAACGAACAGGAACGGAAGAGAAAAAGGCCACAATTCGTGTCATTGGGGAGGAACGACTGATGCTCAGGGAAGCCTTGGTTTCTGACTGCCACTTCCTTGGCCGGTCGTTAGATGCCTAATATAATGTGGGATAGAAGATATGATTACATTCTTACCATCTCGACTACGACCTGTCACGGTTTCACCGAAGGATTCCAAGATTGGGGGCATTCTTGCCGAAATCTTCCTTGCCCCCGTTCTTCTGAGTTGCCTAATCGGCTGAGAATACAGCCACGGACCCGAGCGACCGGATTGAGTTCCCCCCTGAACCTTTCGTTTGCATGTTCTTCATGCAGCGCCGCCCACACCGAACCCAGAAGTAAGGGGGAGCGATTTCTTGAATGGCTATATGTGACCATCTTTCAGCTCCTAAGCGCCACAGAGTAATTGCAATTATGATAATTGTTTTCTGTGCTTTGGAACTTTTCCAAGCACGTGTATTGAACGGAGTTACCGCTAGGGACCGTCTTGGTACAGGCTAGATCTGCAGCCATCCAATTCTATTTATGCGGTAGGGCTCTTAGATCGCAAATATGACTCGATTTAAGCACTCGTAACTGGATCTGGGGAAGCGTAGGAGTCAGGGGGCCAACGACCATCTTGGCGTGGTACACTAAAAAGGACCAATGCCAACGTTATCCGACCTGTGGTGACGAAGATCTCTCTCGCCCCAGTTGCGAGAACAAGGAGATATCCCTGCACTTGGAAGGGCGGTCGTGTGTAAACACACTATTCATATTATTCACCCACGTCGGAGTTAAAAACGATGGGGTCCCACTTTCAGGGCACCAGGTCGCCCTTTCACATAGACCTCCAACAACTCTGCCGCTGAGGGCCTTCACGCCCAAGAAGGGTATCACGATGCCTCGAGACCGACGGCACACGGTTCTGGCGGCCACGGCCTCTATTCTAGTGGTAACTTCAGCGGCGGTCTTCCCCAGAATTTGGCTACGGATTCAGCGACGGGATTTTGGCTTCGATGATGGTAAGCTGCAAATCAATCATTATGGAGGTGTCAGCGTCGATCTTCATGTTAACACTTCCGAACTCTTAGGGCTGGTCTGCTTTAGCTGGGTAAATAAATGATCTGGCGATCTCCAAGTTTCAAGGCTATCGTAACTAATTACTCTCCAGGCGTGCCTCGTTGGGTTTATGAGTGCCGTCATTTTGGGTAGGTCCCCGTCATCTCTCATCAGTATACAGCACAGACACTTATGTGACAACAGCAACACATCATGGATTGGGCCTCGACATTGGCGAAGTTTCTACAGCCGATAAATCAAAGTTCTTGATGGTAAGTAAATGGACCATTCCAAGCTGTGAACAAGTAGTACTACGGCCTATAACTGGTTGGAAAGCTAACAAAGGACTACCACCCTAGCTCAATGTCGTCTTTTCCTGCACCTTCAGCTGGGCCATTGCGACGGCCAAGATGTCCTTCGCCGTCTTATACATGCGCCTTCTACCGAAGACATACCTTTTAATTTTGAACAAATGTCTGATTGGATTCCTTTTCTGTCAAGCGCTCGAGGAAACCATGATTGCGATCTTCATGTGCGTTCCAGTTGGCTCGGCCTGGACACCTGGTATGAAAGGGAAGTGCATTGATATCCGGGTCTTGTGGTGGACAACGGTGGGTTTGGCCAAATTCACTTCCTATCTCCAGCTCGCCTCTAACATGATCGTTGGTTTCAGTTCACGTTTAATGTATCTACCGACCTAATTCTTTTCATCCAACCAATCCCGACAGTTTGGAAGCTCCAGATGCCCAAGGGAAAGCGCATTGGCGTCATCTTCATGATGTCGCTCGGTCTTTTGTGAGCTTCTATCCACTCATAATGCTTCTTCGGTTTAGTAAATGGCTAACTCGGCCTCAGGGTCTGCATCATTTCGATCGTTCGCATCATTCAAACAACATCGGCTGGGTCTAACACGACGCGTAAGACTGACCGCCCTGATCTACGGCTTGATATGTGAACATTTACTGATGCCAACAATAGAGAGAGTGGTAGACGGAGCGATATGGTGCGAGACGGAGATTTCGGCCCTCCTCATTTGTTCCTCCGTCCCGACTCTGAAAGTTCTAGTACAGAAGATCCCCGGTTTCTATTACGTCTTCAACAGCATTACCGAACGATCGAACCCCTCGAAGCTATACATGAATCTTGGCCAAGAAAATAGTAGGTCAATTCCGTTGAGTGCCCTCGCGGAACGAAAGCATGCACATCCCAAGGGCATGAGCCAGATTATCGATGAGGTGTCCGACGAGGCAACCATGAGCAGGGAGGCCTTTCCTCCCGCTCGCACCATCGACAGTACGGAAGAAGTCTTCCCCAACAAGACGAGCACGGACGAAGAAACAGGAAGACGCAAGTACGGGTCCAGGACAGTCTCGTTGACAGGGTCGGAGGAACAGAGCAAGCATCTCAAGGCCGAGGAAAGGGGCCTATGATAGTACAAAATTGTTATCACTTGACTTAGATTAATTATAGATTTAGACGAATTTTCATAATGCAAGGGAACCAATTACGACATTGTTTGCAAGCGAAGGATAGGGTGTGGGCGATTTCACTTACAGCACATAGTCATGATAGAACTCTAGGGGTTTTCATATCAGCTCATACCAGTTCCACTGAGAATTCCTTGTCGTGGTCGATTGCCTCAGGCGAAGGAGCTCCATACAAAGCTATCGAATCCATAGCCTCAAGCGGAATTATAATGACTCATTTAACCTTGGTTAGTTCGCAGCCTGATGCTCTCCACTTGGGTCTGAAATATTGGCCATAGATCGCAGTTCCGTGTGGGAGGTTTAGTATCCGTCGACAAGTTCAGTGCGGGAACAATCACCGCCGAGTTGGGTTTACCTAGAGGGGAATGATCGAGTCGAGTGCTCACACACCGTAGCCGATGATAATTACGGTGGCTACCGCCTGACAAATCTCGCTTCTTAGCACACGGCTTGATTTACCTGCGGTAGATCCGCTTGAGACGATCCAAAGGATCTTTTACCTGATAGTAAGAGGTACGTTGTTTCTGCAATGTGTTTACTGAGAAGCTAGAGCAGAACATTATGCCTATTTGTTGGTCTCCTGAAGCTGCCAAACCAACGCCAGCACCATTCTTTCATCCCCCAACTCCATTCAACATCCTTTATTCACAGCCCGTCTGAGTGAGCCATAGGCATGGAGGCTTGGCCTGATCTGAGCTAAGCCAGGCCTACACGTGAACACAGGGGTCAGGCTTGGCTCGCATGCATTTCTTGTTTCGGATTCGGATGCTGTGGTCCAGCTTTTCACAAGGCACTAGCCAACAGCTCCCTGAGTGATTTCTGGTGGCAATCATGCAATGTCAGTTAGTCCAAATCCTTTGACTTGCCGAATGAGTCTAGTGGCTCCTTCAAACGTTCAGCAGCAAATCGACGGTTGTCTTGGCCAAAGGCTGATCAAACTCTCGACCTAGTCAAAAGCACGTTGATCTCGCTGTTTCTTAAGAGCCGGCAACAACCTTTTTGCTATTTCCGTCCGCTCTCAGAGTGCCTGGGTTCGCTAACCTAAGGGTCGTTCTTTCAATCGTTTATTCCTTCATTCCTTTGAACCATCCTCACGCCATGAAGTTCGCTCTGTTGGCGTTTCTAGGCCTAGCCGCTGCAGCACCTCATGTTGGCGGCAGCGTAGGGGATTGTGCCAGCTTCACCCTGACCGAGAAGTTCTCGGAATTTAAAGTCGTCTCGGTCAAGAGCGTTGAGAGCACGATCGCCTACCAGGGCGCAAGCAAGTCCATCTGCAATGTCACCGTCGTGACATCGCATTCGTGCGCCACGGACCATGTCTACAACTATTTCTGGCTGCCATTGGAAGAGTGGGATGGACGTCTTGTTGTCATGGGTGGTGGAAACTTCGCGACGATGGATTCTGGCCAATTTGGCCCATTGATTGCCGGGGGATATGTCTCGGCTGCCACCGAGGGCGGTCTCTCATTAAACGGCACCATTGACCCCGGGCTCGGAGGTTGGATCGCCAAGGCGGATGGCACTGTCAATCAGGGCCTGTTCAAGAACTTTGCCTACCGCGCCCTCCACGATCTAACTCTCATCAGCAAGGCCGTCAGCAAGGCCTTCTACGGCTCGAAGCCTAACTACTCCTACTACAACGGTTGCTCCACTGGCGGCCGTATGGGCTATGATGCTGCTTGGCATTACCCCCAGGATTTCGATGGGATTGTCGCCGGTGCTCCCGCGCTGTACATTCCCGACCTTGTTGCAGGGGACATGTGGCCACAGGTCGTGATGCAGAACACCGTTGCCCCTCCTCAATGCGTCTGGAACCATTATCTTACCGCCACCATCGAAGCCTGTGACCTCGACGACGGTGTGGCTGACAAGCTCATCTCCCGACCGGACCTTTGCAAGTTCAACCCGAGCAGCCAGGTTGGAAAGACCATTGACTGCACTGATACAGGCGGCCAGGTCACTATCACCGAGGGATATTCCAACGTTATCCGAGAGACCTACGCCGGGCCCAAGTCCCAGAATGGAGAGTTCATCTGGTACGGTCTCCCAGTTGGTTCCCTCTTCCAGGCCATTGCCTACACGTACACGCAGAAAAACGTCACCTACCCCTACCCCATGTCGCTTGCCAGCCCCTACATCAATAAGCTCTTCCTCCAGAACTCCACCTTCGACATCAACAGCATCTCATACGATGAGTTCGAACATATCCACAAAACTGCCCGCGAGCTCTATTCTTTCAGACTGGGGGGAGACGGCTCGGACCTGGCCGCGTTCAAGGCTGCTGGCGGCAAGCTCCTGTCGTACCACGCCCTCAACGACCCCATCATCCCCCACGACGGCACAGTCCAGTTCTGGGAGCGGGAGCAGCAATCCGACGCCAACGTCGCTGACTGGTACCGTCTCTTCATGTATGCTGGTGGCGGTCACTGCGGCTCGAACTACTACCCCGGCTGGGGCAACTACGGCTTCCTCATCAACAACCCTCTCCCTGATCTCATTGACTGGGTTGAGAAAGGCAAGGCCCCTGATGTCCTGAGCTCATATGTGCCATCTATTACCAAAACCATCGAGCGTGGTGTCTGCTCGCATCCTAAGCGTATCACGTATAAGGGCACGGGAGACATCAACTCTGTAGATAGCTTCCACTGTGTTTAGATGTGGAACAACGCATTGGCAGTAGAATCCACGGTAACAGGCCACTCCTGGTTTGAGATTGGTTAGCATATAATATGATTCGATACATGAAGTAATGCATAATTCTCATGAGTAAGAGTGTTCCGCCCAACTTTCATTCATTGTGTTGAGATGTCGTGTCCAACATCTTGCTGTTTGTTTACTTTATACTCGAACTCTCGCCAGCTTCCACTTAACTTATCTGTCATCCTACATCCCCCACATATTCCCCTTTATATGCCAGATTGCATGTCTACTTCGGAGAAGGAAACCGTAGCAGTGGTTTCCTTTGGTATCTTGTGTGCCGCTTGGGGGTTGAGGTTACACTCACATTGCGCAAATCTGAGGGTAGAGTGAGCATTGGCTCCCATTTCATTTAACATATCATAAGATGTAAAACTTTCCGGAGATGAGAATCATTCCGTTAGCTCACAATTAAGGTAGTACGCAATTACCGGTGGCATTATTGACGGTCATCCATAACAATTCCGGTGACGCTCAATAAGAATCATCATAATGGTAGTTCTGTATATATACATACGCATAAAAATAGCATAGTCTAGTTCCCTTAAGAATTCGGTTCGTGCTTAGGTAGCTAAGGTTAGATGCGCTGAGGAATTGTACCAGCAGCCTTCAATTGTTTGTCCTATCCCAAGGTTGAAAAATACACACACTATCCTCGCATTACTAAATCCACTCTTACCTATATTTAACAGGGAGATTAGTTTTGTATCCCTCTTCTGGTTTTATTTATTATTATTGAGACTTTTTTTCTTTCCCCCCCCCGAGCTTAATATGAGACCTTCAGCTCTAGGGTAGCTAAAGGGTGAGAAACCTTTAGCCATTCTTGAAAAACAATCATCTCCAACGTCTACATTAAGCTGGTCTCTGGGTTATAGCAGTAGTAAAACGCTGTTGGCATAATATTGGCTCAGCATGCTCAGGGTTGCTTAGGTTTCACTCAGCCACAGTTCCGACGTCACTTGGGAGGAAAAGCCAGAGAGCTAGTTCGATTGGCCTTTGACTGACCCCGCGATGATAAGATTTTCCAAAAACCCTGAAAGGTTAAAAAAGCCATGGAAAGGTTATCTTTAGTAATGAGTCATACTGTGAGCTAAGATTCCTGACGGCCTACTATAAACACCCTCATGTCTTCTAATTCAAACTGACACAATGCATCACGCTTTCCTATTCGAACAACGCAACACATCATTCTTCCCTAATCACTCCCAAGACGAAAAGAAGAATGCCTTCTCCTTCCAAAATGGGCGCAGCGACTACTGCTCGCAAGCACGTAGGAAAGAAGAGATCTTCGCATGCTAAAGCCTCCCCGCCCCAAGAGATGGCGACACTTTCCCAAAGCCATTTCATTCTGGAGGATGACCCTTGCCAACAGGGCGGGAATGGCCAGAGCGATTCATTGCAGCACGGTGATGCTGCTCCCGATTTGCATTTAGCAGTTCCAAAATCGACGGATGGTGATGGATTGATGGACAGCTCTGGATCGGATTCAGACCGCGCATCACTGGAAGAGGTTTCAGGGTCGACGAATGATGATGAAATAACGGATACCCTCGGGGCGAATTCGGACCTTGCGTCATTGGAAGAAATTACAAACTCGATGGATGATGATGAATTAATGGAATATATTAGGTCGGATTCGGACCTCGCGTCACTGGGATAAATTCCAGACTCAACGGATGCTGATGGATTAATGAATATCCTTGAGTCGGATTCGGACATTGAGTCACTGGAAGCGGAAATCAGGGCTTTTGATGCTGTTGTTAAGGATTTTCTTCGGACGCACTATGGGTCATGACCCTGCGAATACCATATGGAAGCAGGAGAGAGAAATCTGCAACAAACGAGAAAAGAAAAACGTTGTTTGAGAGCGTGCGCGGTGATGCAGTAGCACGACCTTACATTTCATGTCACTTTTTTTTTTTTGGG